TAAATCAGAGCAAGACGATGATTTTATCATCGCTAGATTGTGACTACATTTCATAATTATAAGAGTTCTCTAAAATGTGAATATTCTGTCTCAACCACAGAACAATGATTGGTGCTGAATAGTTACATGAACATGACAACACATGAATACGGAGTTCCTTTTTACCATTCGATCTTTTATAGAAACATGGAACATATATTTTGAAATAGAATGGTTTCTATTAAATGTTCAAGAAGGTGTAAAAATAAATGCTTTTAATGCCTTATGCCCCCCACCTTCAGCTTAAGAATTCAAGCACCGCCAACCCAAGGCAAGCTCCTCGTGTGGCCCGTGTGATAACCTCTCCCCAGATGCGCCTTGCCCTGCAGCCTCCTCACGACAAATTCCAATGAGGCTCCATCGCATCAGTCAAATGCAGCAGCAACTCCCAAGCATTACGTGGACTCTTAGGAAATCTCTAATTCAGCTTCAGGTGGCAGGGCTTTGGTCTCTCACCTCTGGGTCTAGCTGACGAAGCTACATGCTAACAGCACGTAAACACCCGCTGCGTTACAGTTAAACACTGGTGTTCTCATACATCTTTGTGCCTCTGCGTGGGCCTTTGTGCCCCCCAGGCCCCCACTCGCACCCCACGTTCTCCTCTCCTTCACCTAGCCACACCGCTACCCTCACATTTCACCTTTTCTAGGAAGATTCTTCTCTCTCACCCCCACCTTTGGGCGCTCCTCTTCTGACTTTCTAATACACCCTCTATTATGGCTTTTCATAGTACGTTGTAGTTTTCAGTTGACTTGTGCGTCTTGCTTATAGATCTGCAGGGCTTTGAGAGCAGGCATTTTATTCTTAGGTCTCCATCTTCAGATATATAGTAGATTTTAAATTCATTTATTGAATGAATGAAGTGAACGGCAACCAAATGCTTCGAACGATCAAAGACGATGCTCAAAAAAAAATGACGTTCAGCAGCAGAATAGACTTCTCGATCAGTTTGAAGTTTCTTTTCTGGAAATAATGATCCGTCAGATGCGATTCTGTTTGCTCTCAAGAGAAGCAATTAAACTGAGAACCAGATGTCCTCACATTTTCTCCTTCATGCTACTGCTCTACTGTACCCCTCATACCATGATGAGAAGAAAATGGAGAAAATGTTTTCCGTCTGAAGGCATCCAGGATGAGCCTCCCCAAACTGTTCTGCTTTGGCACTTGGGTTATTCTGAACTGAAGATATGCAAGGCCCTAAAGACTCAAGATGAGCTTTTTACTCCTGCTTAGCTGGTCCAGGAAGAAATCCATCCACAGAGATAATTACAAAGGCTGTGGTTAGCTAGGGGGGGATGGCAGGAACTGTTTGTTAGAATCCCTCTCCGTGTCCCACTGTTTCTATCTGGTATGACAAACATTTGTTTACCAAACATTCACCCTTCTCACCTTCCTGTGAGTCTGAAGCCCCAGACCCTGGCCCCTTCTTCTTGGCTCGGGATGGCACATAACCCTCAACTGCCTGACTGTCCTGAAGCCTCTTGTGTTTGTGTGAGGTTCATGTAGGTACAAGATTAAGTTTGTTTTTCTCCTGTGAATCATCTTATGTTCATTTAATTAATAGACCAGCCAAAGAACCTAAAAGTGTAGAGAAAAGATTTTTCTTCTTCTATGAAGAAAAAAGTCTCTTCTCCTATCATTCTTCTGTCTCCTCAACCTCCCTTTTCTATATGAAATAACAACATGACCAACAGCAATGACAAATACTTTGTCCTTAAGATTTATGTCCAAACAGTCTCATGATTGTGTTATCTATGACATGGGTAAATAAAAAACACTCTGAGAGTCCAATGGAGAGATAATTAAGCAAACCATGACATACATACACAATATCATATCATGAATAATTTTTTTTAAGTTTTTTTAAAAAATATTTTATTTATTTTTGAGAGAGAGATAGAGACAGCATGAGCAGGGGAGGATCAGAGAGAGAGGGAGGCACAGAATCTGAAGCAGGCTCCAGGATCTGAGCTGGCTGTCAGCACAGAGCCCGATGCGGGGCTCGAACCCACGAACCATGAGATCATGACCTGAGCTGAAGTTGGATGCTCAAGCGACTGAGCCACCCAAGGGCCCCATATCATGAATATTTTTTAAAAATTTTATGAAGACCTGAAAATTACTATGGTATGATGTTAAAAGAAAAAAAGCAGGAGAATGAAAAATTCTATGGACAATATGATCCCAAGAAGCACAAAATACATGCATAGAAAAATATTGGAAGAAACTGACCAAAATATTAATAGCGGTTAATTCTGAGAGGTGGAAGTATGATCGGTTTCTATGGAAGGGGGTCCGAACAAATCTCCCCAAAGTGAGCCACTTGAGCATGAGAGTATTCGAAGAAGAAATCAACACCCAGTGGGCTCAAGAGAAATCTTCATTCCTCCCTTAACTACCTAGAAAAACTTAAATCGGGGGTGTTTCCCAGAATGAGAGTTCTTACCAGAGATGAATTTTCTCTGAGTGGCCCATCTGTATGGCAGAGCAAACATCTAGTTACCAAATACCTCCTCTTATTGCCCTGAGAATTGCCCTCCTCCCCTTTAGAGCCCCAGGGCCTTAGCTCATTCCTTGGGTCAGGTGACATATATACCTCATTTTACCTTTCTGTCTTTGAACCTCTTATGCATGTGGGGTTCCTGTTTGTACAAAACTACATTTGATTATCTCCTGTTAATCAGTCTCATGTCAATTTAAGTCTGAGGCCAGCCAGAGGAGTCTTTGAAGGGTAAAGGGAAAGTTTTCCTCCCCAACAACATTGTCCTAAGTTTTCTTAATTTTTGACATGTTTATAATATTAAAAGGGAATTTTTAAATAAAATAAAAGTAATCACATCAAGTAAAAAAAAAAAAATAAGGTCCTTTGTATTTCCACATCAGGAGAGCCCAGAGGTTTCCCAGGGGAACAATAAAAAGGGTGTGGAATGAGATCCATCACCTTCCCTGGGCCTGGGGATGTAGTGTTACAAGTTCTTCCCTCTTTCTATTCACTTCCTGTCCTATGGAGATACAGTCATTTAATACAGTCCGCAGTTTCCTGGTTCTTTCTCCAGAGAATCAAGGGTTTTAGGTGCCCAACATAAAATCTCAAGTGAAACCCTCCTGATAATGACTATCTTTTCATTGCCTATAAATCATCTTCCCTCCTGCCTGTTTCTCTGAAATGGGCACACAGCTTGCATCAAGGAACATTTTTCAGGGAAAACACAGAATCGCTGAAGAGAAATTCTGTGCTACTCAAAGTATAGTCTCAGCCTGGCAACCTCACCAGCTTGCAACTTACTTGGAGGCAAAACCTTGAGCCCATCCCAGAACTAGAGCGCCAGGCCTTCCACGGGTGAGGACCAAAACTCCGTGTTGTAAAAAACTCCCTGTGGGGGGGGGGGGATTTTTTTTTCATATTAACACGGAGAAGAAATTCTAAGACTTGATGATTAAGATTCCAATTGGCTTCACTTTAATTCTTAAAGAGAAAAGAAACAAAATAAGGAATGCGAGAGAAGTCAAGGGCAAATGAGTAGTGTTCTAATCATTTACATAATGTTTAACCATCAGGTGGAGGGGGAAGGGAGCCCGAATTTATAGCACTCTATAGATTCGATCTCCCCTTGTGACATCATTGAACTTGGAGCTGGGAAGAGATGCACCCTGGTGGCTTCTGAAAGTTTGTACAAGAAGCTGGTGGCACAGTACAGCAGAAGTCTCCTGCTGGAGAAGACAGCAAGGGCTCAATTACTCATTTAACTCTCTCAACATTTGCAAGTGGAAATTTCTGCATAGCTTGAAGCACTAAATAAGGTCGACTCCTTGATGTATCCAAGATGGAGGAGGGCAAGGGCGAACTCACCCCACAAATCTCTGGAGAATGACTGATAACCGCATCTCTCATAAATTGCCCAAAGCGTATGAAATCAGAAGTTCTAACATAAAGACTCCATTTCTGTTTGTACTGTGATAGTGCAGGGTTTTCGTTATATCAAAAAATCAAAACCAAGTACCCCTCTGGACAGTGTTAAAAATCTCAGTGGCTCTAGCGCTCCATTTACGCAGCTGTGGTCTTCTCTTGTTGAATGGAAGCTAACGCGTCTCAGGAAACTTCTTGTTTGAAAAGATAATGGAAGGTTCTCTTGGGAGATCTCCCTCTTAAATATCCAAGGGATATTTACAGCCTCCAACATATCAGTTTAGGCAAATATCTCACGCATATTCTTTTTCTTTTACAAATTGATAATGCCAACTGTGTTTCCTATTTCCAACTTGCATTGCGACTTCGTAATATAAAGTATTAAGAGGATGGGTTAGGACCCCCCTCCCTCTCCACACGTACGCACATACCTACACATGGGCACATGGGCATGTGCATCAGCATCATCCTCACTTTCTAGAACTCCAGCAAGTTTATAAACTCCCCAAAACTCAGTTTTCTCCCTCATAAAATGAGATTATACAAGAAGCTAGCTCAGAATGATTGTAGGGTTTAAAAATATAATGCAAGCAAAATGCTTCATGATACTGGCATGCCATCCAAGGTGGTAGTTAGTGCTGATGGACTAAGTTTTATTTTCTTCAACGTTTCTCCACATATCAAACATGAGGCAGCTCAAACCAACCTTTCTTTTTAATCACGGCATCAACAGCTGATATTTGAAAATGGGTACATTTCGGCCTGTTCAACAGGTCTTTGCTATGTAATGCAAAAAGAAAAAATAAGAAGGTAAAGATAAACACAAATTCTATCTTACACTGAAGAAAAGATCAGATTATAGCCTGCTGTTTGAGAAGAAAAAAAGAGTCGCAAAAAGCAGTGAATCCAAAATCCTGGGCTCTAACTGAAATTGACACCAATCCCAGTATGTATTAACCCCCTTCATGGGTACCCTGTAACTCTCAGAAATGCCATAACTCTCACTTTGCTTAACATACAAAAAACAAGTTTAGGGCGGAAAAGGGAGACTTACCCACTATGTTGTCTTTATCCAGCTTCTGGGGGGAAGATGCCCCAGGATCCATCTCATTCTTGAGAAGCTTTTATGCTTGGCCAATTTTCATGGGTTTGGAGCCAGGCCTGGGCTCCAGGCAGCACCCAGATGTGCTTGGGACAGGGAAAGGAGAGAGAGACAGAATGAGCAAGAGAGAGAAGTTCCTCGCCTTTCCTGAGCACCCTAAGGAGCAGTTTCCCTGGTGAAGGAAGCCTGTTAACATAAACAAAACGATTTCTTTCATGAATTCAGACTGCCTTTGTTCAGAGAGAACATTCAAAAGACCATGACCTTTGCTTCCTGTAAAATATCTCTAGGTAATTCTCTATATTGTTTATATTTTATAACACACTTTTATGCATCTTGTGTGATTTGTTCACAATGGGCTGTTGATATAGTATACCTCTTCTTATGTTTCAGATAATAAGATTTCATTCAACTCAATCTATACACTGGAGTGAGCGTTCTCTTAAAACTTGGATCTGATAATGTTACCATCCTGCTTAAAGTAATCAATCCAATGATTACTTTAATGACTGCCAATTGTTAATATAGCAAAGACTAAAATCTTAGTGTCTCAAAAGTTCCTACTTGCCTGTCCCTTTCTCCCTTTCCAGTCTCACTCACACGATAATCCCCTCACTCACTTAGCAAATAGCCCCACTGGCCTTCTATGACTCCCATTGAAGCTATCTGGGTCCTCTCTGCCCCAGGGCCTTTGCACATGTTATCATATGCATAATTATCTGGTTAATACTTGTTTCTTCCTCTAGACTAGGGGCTGGCTAACTACAGCCTGCTAGCCAAATGTGGTAGGTCACTTATTTTTGTAACTAAAGTGTTACTGGAACCTCGCCATGTCCATTTGTTTCTGTGTTGTCTATGGCCGGTTTTGTACCACACCTGCATAGTTGAATATTTGCTATAGAGACCATGCGGCCTGCAAAACCCGAAATATTTTCTATCTATCCCTTTACAGAAAATGTTTGATGACGCCTGACCTTTACGATAACTTCCATAAGGGGTGTGACTAGTTCTTGATTTTTTTGCCATAGCGCCTGCTGCGTTAGAATGACGCAGGCACATTGCTGAGGCCCAACAGATACGTGTTGAATGAATGAATGAATAAGTGATATGTCAACGATAACAACTCACAAATGACAACACTCTTTCTCGAATCCAGGTCCCTGGGCCCTTGCCTCAGGAGGGCTTCTTTCATCAGACCTCTTAGGGTCAAAGTCAGTGTAGGTCTCCCTCCACTACGGAAAGAGCCACTCTTTTACTTTAATAACATTCGTCTTTCTCATATCAATATTCCAAACAATATTTGGTTTTCCCAGGTGTGACAACAAAGCAATACGGAACAAACTCGGTTCTTTCCTGAGTCACCCTCTCTTTTCCAGTCTTTCTTCCCCAACCATCCAGCTATTTTCTTCTCCCAGATCGTGGGGTACCTTCGCCAACTCCTTGATATTCTTCATTGCCTTCTCTGTAAACTCAAAGTGCAGTCATAACCAAAACTGTCACGCACAGTTTGTAATTATAAGAATTAATATGGAATATTGGAACTTTGGGAAAGGAGGCAGGGGACCGGAAACTCGGATTAAGACAGATGCCTGTGCACGCAGAGGGGCTGTGCTTTAGGACACTTTTCTCTGCATTGTTCCCATACATCCTTGGTTATGGCTTGATGTGGAAATGACGCCAGAGGCACAGTGGGTGAGGAAGCAGGCCCTGGGCTCGCACTGCCTGCGTATAAAGAAGTTGTGGCTCTATTACAAACTGACTATGTGACTTTGGGGAGCTCATTTACCCCCCCTTCATGTTCTGGGTTTTTTTTTTTTTATCTGTAAAATGGGCTTGATAATGGTCTCTATCAGAGTTGTCTGCATGAGAAGTATATGAAATATCCCATGTAAAATACTCATTATATTATTAAATAGTTACCATTAGATTAATACCATTAATAGATGGCAACTATTATTACCATCAGTGACCGCTGAGTTGTATTTCACAGGACTCAGCTATCTTCTGAAATGAGGATGTGGGGTTAACCTTCACAATACTTCTCTTTCATCCTTGTTTCAAGCAAATGTAAGATTGAGTAGTGATCGATTAGGTAAATCAAAGCACTCCCCGCCTCTCGTTTCCCTAATGCTTCTCCAACTTGCTGCAGATTTGAAAACTGGAGGTGCAGGTGCGCACCCAGTTCTCTTCACTGTTAATCCATTGATTCCTCTGTTTCCTCCTGGCCGCTGCGTGATCACTGTGTCATCCTCACTTCGGGACTAACCTCTCATGGAAAACAGCAACAGGGTAATTTCCTATTTCCATCATTTCTTATAACTAGGTCATGGACACAGGAGGCCCCTTTCCCTTCTAAACCGATGACCCTCCACCGTCATGCGGCAAAATGTTTTGGAAGAATGGGTTTAGCTAATTTCTAAGTACAATTGCCCTTAGTATTAGCTAAATGCCACTTATGCCAGCACGGCTCAGAGGTGCAAGGTTCAAAACAACAGAAGGTAATTGTTCCCCGGTGGTGGCCGGCAAGAGCCTCCAGGGAACTTGCAACAAACACATCCTCCTGGAAGATGACTAAGCAACTGTTTTTCTTCTTCCTGCAAAATGTTATAAGTATCTCAGCCTAGAAAGCAAGGCTGATCTCACCAAAGAAGGAACACGTAGGAAGACTGGGGGCCTCAGGGGATGAAGGAAACGCGGGATCATTTTCAAGATTTCCTTCTCTCTTGTCTAAAATATAAACCATGTGGGCCCCATTAATGGAATTTTCTCCCCTCCATCGTGGGGGAGTAAGGATGGGGGAATAAGGTAAATCAAGAATTGCTGGAATGTATTCCCAATGGATATTTTCTCCGTTTTCATTCTATCAAGTACTGAACTAGGGCAAAGTCCTGAATAAGAACACCTGTTTGGTGTTTGTTTGTTTGTTTGTTTGTTTGCTTGCTTGCTTTAGGACAGCTATGTTTTTAGGACCCCTAATTTCATTCCAGCTCCTGATATGCAAGATGTTGTCCCCAGATATGTATATTTGATTTTCCCTGAATGTTCTTCTTAGAGCACAAATGCTATCTTGAAACAATTCATTCCAACCTCTGAGCTCTCCCTTCCCCATGCGTCAGGTGTCAGGAACACTCTCCCCCGCACTGGTCATCCACCATCATTTCTTGCTAAGACGCACAAATCCATTCCAGGACATTTCTTTCTGATTTGATTAACTTTTAAAAAATATATAAAAGGTTATTTGTAAAAAAAAAAAATATATATATATATATAAAAGGTATATATATAACCAATATATATCATCCATTCTATTTTATTCATTCTCTTGTATACAATCCTTGAATTTCCACATGTTTAAATAACAAATGACGTCCACAGATCTGTATGGATATTTACATAGGCATAACTCTCCAAATTGCCAATCTGGCCTACACTTCTCTCTAGAATAATAAACATTTTCAACTATCAGCTGATGAAATATCTGTACTCAAATGTACCTCCCACCAATTAAATAGTCTATCCATTAACATCCTATCAGACATTTTTTATTATAGAAATTCTGATGACGCAGGTGGAATAATAGTTACTACATGTGTATATATATATAATGTATTTATTGAATAAAATGAACAATGAATATACTACCCAACCTCAGAACTAGAACATAACCAACACCATTAAAGCTATTTGAGTATTCTTCCTAAGCCTCATTCCCTTTCTATACACTTACATGTATATTGATTCTTGATAGTTACATGAGTGGTAAATATAATTCTCCCTGTTGTGGCTTATCTTTTCACTTTTTAAATGATACCTTCAATATCAAATATAGGAAGCTTCAATATATTTAGTGCTTGGTATGCCTTGTTTAAAAATTCTTCCCTTTCTATGGTCTTAAGGATATTCTCCTATATTTTATTTATCATTTTTTAATGTTTATTTGTTTTTTTGAGAGAGAGACAGAGCATGAATAGGGGAGGGGCAGAGAGAGAGGGAGACAGAGAATCTGAAGTAGGCTCCAGGCTCCAAGCCATGGGCACAGAGTCCTACCTGGGGCTCGAACCCATAAATCATGACCTGGGCAGATCATGACCTGGGCAGAAGTCAGACGCTCAACCAACTGAGCCATGCAGGTGCCCCTCCTATATTTTCTTTGAAAGCTTTAAGAGTTATTTTTTCTTTTGATTTTCAGTCTTCAATCTACCTAGGGCTGCTTTTTGTGCATGGTATAGTGTGGGGATCCATTTTAATTTTCTTTCATAGAAATAATCAATTATCACAGCACCTTATAAACAAAGAGTCAAGTATCTAACTGATCTGCCAGGCCAGTTGTTATAAATGGATCCATAAGAGTGGGCTTTGATGGCTTCCTTATTATACTCCACCATCAGTTTGGTTGTCTCCAATGAATACTTCATGCTCTTAGTTTCTAAGGCCTAGTAAGTCTTGGTATTTGGTACAGCACCTTCCTCATTGTCCTGAGAAGAGTATCTGCTGTTTGTAACCATGATGATCTCGTATCCTCCATTTAAATAGGTTCTCTTTGATGATTGTCACATAGCTTAAAAAAAATTCTCCATAACATTATTACTCATTTTTTGTTGGATTTATCCCACAGTAATAGGTCACTGTTTTCTTTTTAAAGACTTAAATTTTTAAGAGCATTTATATGTTCACAACAAAATTGCGGGGAAGGTCCAAAGACTTCTCATCCACCTCGTCCCCATGCATGCGCAGGCCCCTGCATTACCAACATCCCCCCTTAGAATGGGGGATGCAACATTTGTTGCAACTGGTGAACCTACTTTGACACATTATTTTCACCCAGAGTCCAGGGTTTGCATTAGGATTCACTCTTGATGTACATTCTATGGGTTTGCAAAAATGTATAATGTCGTGATGTCATCCATCACTATGGCATCGTACAGACTATTTTCACTGCCCTGAAAACTCCCCTGCACTCCACCTATCCATCCTTCCCTGCTCCTCCCCCCAAACTCTTGCAGCCACTGATCTTTCCAGTCTGTCCATGGTTTTATTTCCTTTTCCAGAATGTCATTTAGGGAGAATCATAGGGAAGCTTTATCAGATTGGTGTCTTTCACTCAGTAATAGGCATTAAAGTTTCCACTATGTTTTTTCATAGCCTAATAGCTCCTTTTTTTAAATTTTAGTGCTGAGTAGTATTCTTTTGTCTGGTGTTTCCCTTTTTTTTGAATGACATTTTTTACTGTTGCTCATATTTGAAAATGCAACTGGCTTTTGAATATATTTATAAATCTCACCAAGCTTTTTATCTTCCTTTCCAATTATACTTTTTATTTCTTTGTTGTACCTTAGGATATTAGCTATAGTACAATGCTAATCTACATTTTACTTGACCAGTCTCTGATTTTAAAGAGATTTTTATAAAATTCCAGTTATGAATAATGTATGCTACGTTTATGTAGATTTCCTTTACCTGATAAAGCTTCCTTCTTTTCATAGTTTGCTAAGTGTGTGTTTTTTAACCATTACAGTGATTGAGTTTCATCAACCATTTTTAAAAAAATTTTTTTAATGTTTTATTTATTTCTAGGAGAGAGAGAGAGAGAGAGAGAGACAGCGTGAGCAGGGGAGGGTCGGAGAGAGAGGGAGTCACAGACTCCGAAACAGGCTCCAGGCTCTGAGCTGGCAGTCAGCACAGAGCCCGAGGCGGGGCTCGAACCCACGAACCGCGAGATCATGACCTAAGCGAAAGTCGGACGCTTAACCGACTAAGCTACCCAGGCGCCCCTCATCAACCATTTTTTTTATAGACTGGAAAATGGTTTCTCTCCATGTTAGTGGTGATTGCACGTTTAACTTTATCCTTGCTTTACTATTAATAAATCTATCCTTTACCCCTGGCACAAACCCAACTTGATTATGGTGTATCATTTCTTAAGAATAAATTCAAGTTGCAAGTATTTTATGATAGTTCACTATTTTCTTGTGTAAAGTTGACTTGCATTTTTTTTCTTTCTCATACTATGCTTGTCTGAGTTTTAGTATTAAATTGGTCTATAAGAATGAGTTGAGGAACGTTTCCTCCTTCTATTCTCTTGGAAGTGCGTGTGCCGTAGAATGAACCTGAAAAGCCTCTGAGCCGCCTGCTTCCCTTCCATTTACAGATGTTGTGACACCAACAAATAGGCAAGTATGACATCTTACTGGGTGCTGATTTCTTCCACTTTTCTGTGACTTGTTCTTGGTGTTTTTTCTAACTCCATTTTCCCTCTCCACTAATTAGGAGTTAAAAACACCAATGACTTTTAACTCATACTGTTACAACTTTTATCGGATATAAATTAATTAAAATTGAAATACTTAGTCATCATCAAAATGCCCCTCCTGAATACAAGGACCTGGGGATACTTTAATTTTGATATCCCTTTCCAACTGACTTGCCAATGTTGCCCAATGTTTAATCTCTTAACTGACCCAAATGGGACATTGTTTACTAATCTTGTGTCATCTTCCAGAACAACAAAGGCTCACTAAATTTTCTTTGAGGTCTGCTTAAGTCGTAAATTTTTATAAGGAATTTCACGTGTGATTCCTCCTACTACCAATCACCTTAGTTCCTCTAAAGACAAGAAGTGACCACGAGCAGATGAGGGACCGAGAGAGAGGAAGAGGATCCCAATCAGCCTCCACACTCAGCGCAAAGCATGACCTGGACTCAGTCTCACAACCCCGAGATCATGCCCTGAGCAGAAACCAAGAGTTAGATGCTTAACTGACTGAGCCACCCAGGCGCCCCCAAGGTAGCCCCTTTTAAAAAGAACTTTTTGCTCAATCCACAGTTGTCAGTCAGTCAGTCCGTAATTCTTTTCAGCTGGGCTTCTTTGATCTCCACTTGAATGTGGACATACTTCACAAAGCCCCCACCAGATCTTTGGAATCCAGTTTCTTCACACAATTGGCTGTAGGGCCCTAGAAGTTAAATTTTAGAAAGTTCATTGATTGCTATTTTGTCAAGTGATGTAAAACATATTTTCCCTTAATTGTTTCTAATACTGAAGTCTTGTTCCATCCACTTTTAACTTATGAGACTATAGCTCTCATTGTCCCCTCTGCGATAAACTTACATCAGAAGCATAACCTGAGCCTCAACATAGCCACATTCACAACCTGCGGACACCACAGATGAGTGCCCATTCTCATCTAGGGGGAGGCCTGGGGGAAATAGAGTATTTTCTAAAATTCTGTGACACTAAGTGTATTTTATAGATGCACAGACTAAACTCACCTGGCAAATCAAGTGGTAAGGCTTAAAACTGAGGTTAACCGATTGTATGAATCAAGAGTGTTTGCAAATCCCACAGACACTATGGGGCTTTACAGAAAGAGAACAGAGAGGTACGTTTCTAATTCCTTTTCCATAATGTGGATCTTCATCATCTTCACATTTAGATTTCTGTAAAAACCATCCAGTGTTCTACCTCTAATCCAACCTCCGTGCCACAGCCTAAGTGATTTTCTGCAAAGTGCTTTCTATTTCAAACTGCTGATCCCAAACGAAGGCCCAAGCCCTCTGCATGGTTTACAATTAGGCCCCTTGCTTTTTCGAGTCTCTCAAACTACAAACTTCATTCAAACTCCATCCGGTTACAGGCTTACATTGTTGTCCTCGCCTGTCACATGGGGCCTCTGTAAAGGATGTGATTCCTTACTCATCCTAAGACTTTTAGGTCACAGAGACTTTCTGGATTCCCTCAGGCAGAAAGGTCCTCACCTTCTCTCCTACATATTTTTTTGAAATGTTGTTGAGAGAGAGAGAGAGAGAGAGAGAGAGAGAGAAAAGGAGCACGAGTGGGGGAGGGCAGAGAGAGGGAGAGAGAAAAATCTCAAGCAGGCGCAGAGCCTGTCACCGGGCTCAAACTCATGAACTGTGAGATCTTGGCCTGAGCCAAAATCAAGAGTTGATGCCTAACCCACGGAGCCACCCAGGAGCCCCTCTCCTATGTATTTTCCGGCACTTGGCGGTACAAGTTGCCTGGCGTTGGTGTTAAATGCTTGGTTCAAATTTACCATTTACTCACTGTGGGACTTACATCTTGACTGATTTATCCAGTTAATTAAGTGGCTATTACTTCCCTCATAGGATTACGAGATACATAAAACCAGACCCCAGTAATTATTACAAGTGCTCCAAAAATGTTCTCTCCATTTTTATATAAACCTCGAAGTGCCTGATAGGCACAAGATGCCAGGGATATGTCTATAGGATGAACAGGATGCAGCTCCTCTGCTGTGATCATACGGGCCCGTCGAACAGTAAAACTAACCTGGCGGCAGTACGGACTACAGAACGATGACTCATTCGGTGACTTTTTTTTCTCTGAGTGAATGGTCAACATATATAAACAATATAATCTTTAAAAAGTTTTATCAGCATAAACTTAGAACACATGACAACTTCCAGCAACTGGCATTGGATTAACTATGCAGTCACATTCTGTGTGTGCAGATAACTGAAGGCATAAATAGTCTGTTTCTAGTGTTGGTTATAATATAACTTTCATATAAGACATATTTAAAGGAATAAGCAATCAGTAGTATATATGGGGCTACAGCTGAATTTGGACAAAAGTGGTCTATGTATTAGCATATACGAGAAATTAAAAACGCTATCGAAGCACTTAAAAAAACACTTACAAAATACTTGTCATATCCATAAAGTTTATTTTAAAAAATTGTTAAAAACTAACCATACAGGAGTATTTATCAATATACTTAAAAAGTTTGTTCCCCGTGTTGAAGGAAAATACATTAGCAACATCTTCCAGACACCATCTTTATAAAAGTAAAACTTCTAGATGCTGAAATGTACTACAGTGGACTCTATAGTTTACACTTTTAATCACAGGATTGAAAATCATTCTCCCTTCTCCCCGTCCCCGCCGGCCCCCCATGTGGCAGTTCTTACCGCTACTGAATGACATTCAATCACGTCCGACACTACCACAGACCCTTAAATAGAACACACACCGCATGTTTACTAACAGCAAGTCTTCTCGATTGGTCGTCACATCAGACTTTCGGATAAGCGTTGGACTTGAAGTACAAATAGAAACACTACATCCCATGATTGTAAACATTCACCAAGAGCTTTCAGAGTTACGATGAGTAATAGAGGTGGCCCTATGGTCAGCCAAATGCTCCTCACTCGCTCGGATACTGCTGAGATTAAGAAATATGTGTTGAAGGCCAGTCATCACAAGCCTTCCTTGCATTTCTGTAAGAAAGTAGTTCTGGATATATTTTTAGTGGAAAACACCTGAAAGTCATTCTAAAGACTATATTAAGCACCATTTTCACTTACCTGAAATATATTAAGTTAAATTCAGCAGTAAATGTTTAAGCATAAATGTCAGAAATTAGAAATAAATGCGGGTTTCAAGTTCCCTTCTGTGGATACTTATGGAGTACTGCGTTCCGATGACGCTAACAGGAACCGCTCATGCATTCCAAGGGCAGTAATGCCCCCAGGGCCAAATGCGACCCATGAGTCTGAGGCACAACTATTACTTCTGTCAGTGGACACTATACAAGCAGATTTAAGGCTGTATTCGGCTATAAAGAGTTCAACCTCCTCTTTAGTATTCTTCTGACACAGATCACATACACGACTCAAAATTTTATAGGGTGGGAGGTGAAAAGTCCCCGAACACCTTCTTTATACTATTCTCCGTACAATTCATCATCAGCATATTTACATAGGAGAGTGTTCATACTTAAAACCATTAAAAAATGCGGGGCGCCTGGGTGGCTCAGTCAGTTAAGCGGCCGACTTCGGCTCAGGTCATGATCTCATGGTTTGTGGATTCGAGCCCCACGTCGGGCTCTGTGCTGACAGCTCAGAGCCTGGAGCCTGCTTCGGATTCTGTCTCCCTTTTTCTCTGACCCTCCCCTGCTCATGCTGCCTCTCTCTCTCTCTCTCTCAGAAATAAATAAAAACATTTTTTAAAAAACATTAAAAATGCAATCGTCCTGGTTTTAAACTCTTATCCCAATTTCCCCAAGATTATCCTCATTCTCATTTTCTGAAAATGTTAGCCAACTTCACATTAGTCAGATTGTTCACTGCAGTCCTTAGGCGTATCTGATGCTGCTCCGGAGGAGAATACAAACTAAATAATATTCACTGCCACCCACTTTGGGACAAGCCCGGCTGCAAAGAGAACGGCGTTCCTGGTGTCGAAGGATAACTGGGAAATCCATCTGGCTGAGCTGAATAGCTTTCCAGAGCCGAAGCTGAATGGACCTGATAGAAAGAACGTGCAGGTTAGCAACTGCCAAAAATTCATTCAAGTCTGCACTTGCTTTTGCCTGTACCACACTATGGATATTTAGAACGGGAAGGAAACAGCAGCAATAACAACCACAAAAAAACCCACTGGGGCAAGATTAAGTCTGCGTATTAGTCTCCTGAAATTTTCAAGAAACATTCAAAATACTTCAGACGCTGGAGGTGAAGAGAGAGATCACTGAAATACTTAATTTTTTTTTCCCCAAAAAGGTCAAGAGGTTTTTCTAGAGAAGATGTGCTTTAATGGTCCGTTATTTGAGCTGGAATTATAAAAGACCAGCTCCAGTTTAACGCTTTAACACGTATGAAGATTCCGTTTGTAAGACCTCCAAACTGAGGCCGGAAAGTTTCAAAGCAGTGAAACAATTCATAGAGACGAATGGAGCCCGGCACTTGCGTTACCCTTCTGAAGGAGGGCGGGAATAATCTGCACATTTGGGGAGGTTATTTGTTAAAATCTCCAAACATTCCGCTACGGGCCTTTGCTGGGCCGACGCCGGGCTCTCCCTCCCGGCGCCGCAAGGGCATCGCTGGAGAAGCTACGGGCGGCCGCCGGCTGCTCACCTGCTGCAGCAAGGCCGACTGAGCGGCCGCGCTGTGCTGGAGCTCCTGCAAGGCCGGCTGTGAGGCGTTCTGGGAGAACCCCGGGATGCCCGGGAGGGACAAGAGGCCTGGGAAGACAGAACCGCCTGCCGCTTGAAGGCCGGATGACAGGCTAAAACGACAGACGGAAGAACAGGTCAAAACGCGGAGAAGCCGAAAGAAGCTATTGCTTTCTGTTACCCGTCAACCACCACCTCCAGATCTAAAACAAGCCAACCTTACATTTCGGTTGGGAGGAACCCTAAAAGTCGGCCCCTCGCTGACACCAAATCCACGTTCTATTAGAATGTTCTTCTGAACTCAGTACCTCTCTGCTTTGCACAGAATACCCCCCGCAGCTTCACGGGGGCAGCCGGGCGCACACGAAGCTGCCTGCGCAGGCATTCGCACCGGACCCCCTACTCTCGCTGTGTTTTCCGAGTGGCGGAGCTTCGGCCCAGAGAAATACGCGGACTCAGGCCCAGTCAGATCCCGGCTCCTCTGACGGCCGGGCAAACGCCGGCGCGCCCGCGGCCCGCGCACCTGCCAGCCACGTACCCGGCTTGGGCCACCAGGGCGGAGTTGAAGTTGGAGCTGAAGGCGGAGGCGAATCCCGGGAGCACGGGAGCCGGCGACGGGGTCGTGGCGGCCACGGGCAGCGGGGCGACGGCGGCCACCGTGGACGGCGCCTGCAGCCCCGGGAACGAGGGCAGCGCGGGGGCGACGCCGGGGGTGCTGGACACGGAGAAGCCGGGGTACGAGGGGTTTGCGGCCGGCAGAGGCCCCTGCGTGACCGAGAAGAGGGAGGGGACGGCGGTGGACAGGTTGAGCGGGAAAGGGGCCGCCGAGGCCGGCGCCGAGGCCGGCAGCCCGGAGAGCGCGGCCGCGGAGGAGCTGGGCGCGGCCGCCGCGGACGACGTGGCTAGCAGCGGCCCTGGAAGGGACACGGCGGGGTTGAGGGACGGGCTGCCGGCCAGCGGGAAGTTGCTGGTCAGGGAAGTGAAGGGAGGCAGGGCGGTGAACACGGGGGTGAGGGGGGCGGAGGAGGCGTGGGGCGGCAGCGAGATGGACGCCAGCGGGTTGGACACGTTCAGCGGGGCGGCCAGGCCCGGGAGCCCCGACAGGGCGGGGTTAAGGCAGGCGGATAAAGCGGCGGGCCCCGACGCGGCCGGGTACGCGCGGCCCAGCGTCCCCGGCAGGCCCAGCGCGCCGTGCGACGGGTTGGCCGCGGGAGGCGGGCCTTTGAAGGCCGAGGGAGTGGGGCTCGTGGGCTCCGTTTTGACCAGGACGGGGACGGAGGTGACGGCGGGGGCGGAGGCGCCGTGCAGCTCCGAGCTACCCGGGTGGGGGCCGGGCAGCAGCGGGGCCGACGAGCCCCCGCCGCCGGGCCCCGAGGCGGCGCACGACGTCGGCGTCGCCAGGTGGGAGTGCGCGGGCAGTGTGGCCGCCGTGGGAGCGGCGCCGGCCGGCGGGCCCGGGAACGCGGCCAGCGCGGGGGCGGGGGCGCTCTGCGCGGCGGGCCCGGCCGGGGGGCCGTAGCACGTGGCGGGGCCGGGCGCGGGGGAGTCGGGGCTCGGGTGGGCCAGGGAAGACAGCGAGGCCAGCCCGCTGGTAACGGCAGAGGGCAGAGCGGACGCGTTGAGGAGACCCGTGTCGTTGGAGGTCAGGAAGCCTTTCAGAGCCGACAGAAGAGGGCTGTTGGCAGCGAGCGGACACGCCACGCTGGGGGGAGGAGCGGGTTTGGACGCGCCTTGGGACGTGGGCGTTAGGGGCAAGGGGAGGCCCGCGAACACGGAGGACAGCGAGGCCGAATTCGGGTTGTTGGCAGCAGCAGCAGTGGAGGCGGCGGTGAAGGGGAGGCCAGGGAAGGAGGCGGAGGCGAAGGTTTCACTGGCAGCGGGCGGGGCCCGAGGCGCGGCGGCGGCCGGGGCCTGGGGGGCCGGGCCGGGCGGGGCGGGGGCGCCGGGCGGCGGAACCAGGCCCGAGAACACGGCCGCGCCGGGAGCCGCGGTCGTGCTGTGGCCGGAGGTGACGGGCGCCGCGGTTCTGATAACTGTCGGGTTTGGCGCCGCGGACTGGGGCGTATGAACGGCCGAGGACACCTGGCCCGGGAACACAGGAAGGACAGCACTGGGCATGTTCATCCCGGAGACGGTGGCGGCCGCCGGTGCTGGCGGGTGACTGCCTGCTTTGACTGGAGACGCGGTGGGGACGGGAGTTGCAGCAGGCGTTGAAGGATTGGAACCATGCGGAGAGAAGAGCTGACTCGCCGGGGTGGAGAAGGCTAGGGAGGGGGTAAAGAGGCAAGAATCTGTCACCATGCTGAACTGTGAGATTGCAACCCAAGAGAAACGGTAAAATGTAACATTTAACAAACACAAAGAAAATCACTGACAGGTGGAATAGGCTATCGCAGTGCGCACGTGGCTAGACTCTACGACCCTGATTTTCACTGCGCAGCCTCGTTAGAGCTAGTGACCGTCTAGACTCTGCTCAGAAGAGCCCTCCAATGCACACGGAGGAAGTCTTGGGAAATGAGCAAATTTTCGTATTTTCCCAGTTTTTAAAAATTAAAACTTTATTTTGTGATTAGTGTTGGTGTACTGACTTTCCCTTTCATTCTTTCAAACCACTTACCTAGAGTAATGAAACAAGTCACTGTCCCTCTTAAGAGCTTTCAGGACATCACTTTCCTTTTAGGCTTTCCAGGATTCATGCCTATTTCTCCAGTATTATGGCCACTCGGTGAATTGAACTTGACCTTCCAGTTTAAGATCTATACAGCTTTTCCCCCCAAGCATTTTCTCCTACTGCCACCTCCTCTATGCAGTCTCAACCTCTAATATTTGCTTTGTCCTAGGAGCTCCCTTAGGGGCAAAAGCCATGTCTCCATCTTTAGAGCCTTAGCACCTGGCACTGAGCATGGCATCTGGGTATCTAATAAGTGTCTGCCACACTAGGTATAGCACCGTTATCTCCACTGTAATTACCAAACCCATCCGAGGACTTCTCAAGAATTCTACTATAGTTTGCTGTAACATGTGCATTCTGATAAACTCTACGGATAATTACTGTATGTATTCTGGGGGATGATTTGTGCTTCCCCTCTGAATCAATCAGTGACAATGTTAGCCTTTGATGATCTGGTTAGTGTCAAATGGAAAGCATGACTTAGGTCACTAAGGTCATAATGACAACTATCATCTGCTGCCTTATATATCAAGTAGACAGAGAATGTTCCTTTTCCAGTGATAATCAACTGAAACATTTTCATGGGCTAAGACTTAAGTTTCTAAGTTTATGCATAATAAAGACTTGCATAAAGAAGTCGACATGATCAGTGAAGTAATTGATGTACACTATACTGATCATGGTAGGGAACGGACCATAGGAAAAGAATGGAAGAAAATAACATATATATAATCCATCTGTACCAAGAGATGGCCAAAAGGTGCTATATTGGGCTGAACAAATTTTATGGTAGTTTAGAAAAGAGGGGAGCATAGGTGGCTCATCAGTTACTTAAGTATCCGACTCTTGATTTCAGCTCTAGATATTTTAAATTTAGAAATCATATGAACTATAGATTTGTACTTTAACTGGCATTTGTTTTATAAGCAGAAGCCCAAGGAATATATATCCAGTTTTGTACTAAAAAATTATGTAGGTCAACATTGGTTGGGAACTATCTGAGAATTCACTATCTTATATAACAACATGCTGAGGACCATGCAGTTAATGACGGATCATGAGAAGACCAAACTGTCCCACAACATTCTTTACAGCAGCCTCCGAAAGACTGGAGATCTTTTTATATGATAAAGGAAAAGCCATGCACTATTAATCATAGTGCCTACAGTTAAAATGTGACAAAACGACAAATCGAAAAGAGTCCAAAAACATTCCATGATAAATACTACTTTCCTGTCACGTAATTTGGGTGTCAACCATAAAACAGTATCTGTCAGATGCTGCACTAAGCACTTTATGCCTATCATTTCATTTGTCCGCACATAACCCTCTGAGATAGGTTCTGACAACCCCATTTTAAAGACGGGCAATCTGCAGCCTGGTGTGTTTAAAGCAGTATGTTAGAAGATCGTACAGCTATTAAGTGGTTTCCAGAGGGAATAAAGGTTCAGGGCACCTGGGTGGCTCAGTCGGTTGGGCTTCTGACTCTTGATCTCGGCTCAGGTTATAATCTCAAGGTTCATGAGTTCAAGTGCCGTGCTGGGCTCTGCACATCTGCCCCTCCCCTGCTCACATGCGTGCATGCATGCCCTCTCCCTCTCAAAATAAATAAATAAAAAGAAAGGGAATAAAGTTTCAGCTATGCAAGCTAATAAATTCCAGAGATCTGCTGTATAACATGGTGCCTATAGTTAACAATGCTGTATCGTGTACTTAAAAACTGAAGAGGGTAGATCTCATAGAGATCTTACCACAATAATTTCAAAAGGGTCATGCAGCTATTAAGTGATGGAACCCTGGCCTGACAGACCCACATCCTTAACCGCTGTACTAGTGATCTTTTTGTCTCCTGATGCTATTCAAAAGGCAGATAAAATCTTACTCCTTTAACATTCACAGCATAGGGAAACAGTGCACTGTTCCTGACGTTGGTTCTTCTGCCACTAACTTGTCATTCCCTTCAAAAACAATGACGCTGAGCATAAGTTTCCTTCACCCCCTTTTCAAAGAGGTTAAATGACACGGTAACAGAGCTGGGCGGCGCCGGAGTCAGGACAGGAAAATCATGTCCTGACACCTCCATGTCTGTCCACCCCATTGTGCTACGTCCTCTAGAAACCACAGCTAAAAAGCACCGTTTAGGCGCCCTGCTCAGGGAACAGAACTCTCCCGCCGAGACTCCTAACTATGCCCTTAACGATCAGGTTCCTGTGCCGCTCTGCTACCGTCTCCTGTGGGAAAGCACGCATCTCCTTCCAGACCACAGAGTCCCGCAGCTGGAGGAGGAACAGGCTGGCGCGGCGCTACTGCCACCTGCAGGCGTCGTGTCGGCCTCATCGCCTTTTTCAGGTCCACTTCCTGCTCTGGCGACCCTTATTTTTTGTCCTACGTTAAGCTATGCTACCCTCAATATTTGTGAAAATAACTGAATCTAAAGCTAGTACTTAAAATTGCTTTTGGGGATAAGGGTTTTTATGATCTTCTGTGTTTCTATCAAAACAAAAATGAGGCTTCCAAAATATTACATAATGTAAAGTGAATGTGGATGTAACGCCACATAGCGCTCAGATTATACTGCAAGTTTTTCAGGTAAGACACAAAGGCACATGGTTAATTTTAAACCCAGTTAATGTGGACATTTCACTGTGTTGTGTATATAATGTACCACTAGCAAGCAACTTTTAGCAAGTGTTGATTAAATTCTTTAAGTAGGAACTTTCCCCAAAGCACAGATTCCAAATACATCCAATTCAAACTGTTGTCAGTGAATAACGGAGCAGAAAATCAGGACCGACAGCTGTGTGTGGAGCAAATTTGATACTTACTTTGATTCTGGGTAGGTTTTGACTGACTGGAAAGGTCTTCATTTTCTGTATGAAAATAAGTAAAAACGTTGATTTCAAGTTTTATTCAAATTCATCACCACCATAATAATCAGAGGTTGACATCAAAAAATGAAAAGCTCAGGATGTGTATGCACTCTTTGCTAGGAAAACCATGTATGCAGAAAGAGAAAAGAAACCAACAGAAATAATGGTAGCAACTATATAAAGACTGACAGCATTATGAGCAACTGATGCCTAACCTCCCTCCACTACTACTTCTTAACTTCTCAGGTTTTATTTGTTTTTGTTTTTTAATGTTTTTATTCATTATTTTTGAGAGAGACAGAGTGCAAGAGGCGGGGGGGGCAGAGAGAGAGGGAGACACCAAATCTGAAGCAGGCTCCAGGCTCTGAGCGGTCAGCACAGAGCCCCACATGGGGCTTGAACTCACAAACTGCAAGAGCATGACCTGAGCTGAAGTCAGACACTTAACCAACTGAGCCACCCAGGTGCCCCAACTTATCAGGTTTTAAATAAGCACTGATATTTTGCAGATATATTTAAAAACACTTTCTGGAAAGGTGACGGCCTGAGACTGCCACCTAGGAGCAAATGGCTGCAGGTGGAGTGCAGAGACCCACCACCGTTCCTGCCTAAGCTGGCAGTCACTGCAATAGCAGGAGACTGGAGGTGGGAGACAGACACTGAGCAGAGCCCACACTATCTGAGGGACCAATCTCACAGGCCACGTGACGATCCAAGCAACTAGAAAGAAAGGGCCCTGGTTTCCTGTCACACTCATTGCTGAAAAGACCCTATGCTAGGAGCTGCCGAGAACCACCCTAATGGAGGCAGACTTGAAGCCTGGGATGCTGATCCAAAAGCACCCTCCTCCCCATCCCCCATAGAAAGGACTTAACTAGACCATTAGTCAAAGATACAATGTGAGAAAATTTACCTCTCATAGCCCAACAATAACTGCCCAAGAAACAAACAGTGGTTCAGATATAAGGTGCAGAAAGAACCTGCAAGCCCTGATGTGGTAAGCAAAAAGAAGATCAGAGCTCGTCTAAGGAACCTGGTACAAATAAACAACCAGGACATACAGTGTCTATCAATAAAGATTCAATGAAAGGAAAAAAACTTTGAAAACTTGTAATGCAGATTAAGAACACATACATACACACATAATATGCAAGAAAATATAAGCAGAGAAGGTGAAGGTTTAGATACAAAAATATGATTCCAAATCAGTAAATGTAAAGAATGGTGAAGATTAGAAATACCATTACAAAAGCTAAATTACTTAGTTGGAAATAAGAAACAAGAAAATAACATTTAAAATGGCAAAAAAAAAGATATATAAATTTTTTTAATGTTTATTTTTCAGAGAGAGAGAGAGAGACAGAGAGCAAGCAGAGGAAGGGCAGAGAGAGGGAGACACATGACATAAAACAGGCTCCAGGCTCTGAGCTGTCAGCACAGAGCCCAATGTGAGGCTTGAACCCAAGAACCATGAGGCCATGACCTGAGCCGAAGTCGGATGTTCAACTGACTGAACCACCCAGGCGCCCCAAGGATATATAAACAAATAGGTAAGAGACTTAGAAGACAAATACAGTGCAAAATAAAAGTACCAGAAGGAGAAAAAAGAACAGATGAAAAAGCAGTAACTAACAGAATAATAAAAACAAAAATTTCCTAAGCTTTAAAGACTTGAATTTTCATATCTAAAGGGCTTACAGAGTTCTGTGAAAGATTACTGCTAAGACCACGCCTAGACATCCTGATGAAATAACTGAACTCCAAGACCAAAGACACTTCTGAATTCTAAGGTTAAAGAATAGTTTCTTTGTAAGCTTCTGGAAGGAGACTAAGGTTCTAACAAAGAAAAGAAAATTAACTGGAATTGGTTTTTCATCTACAACTCTGTACACGTGCCCTTTTAAAAAACTACTTAGAGGGGCACCTGGGTGGCTTAGTCGGTTAAGCGTTCGACTTTCGCTTGGGTCATGACCTCGCGGTTCATGGGTTCGAGCCCTGCGTCGGGCTCTGTGCTGACTGCCAGCTCAGAGCCTGGAGCCTATTTCAGAGTCTGTATCTCCCTCTGTCTCTGACCCTCCCCTGCTCACGCTCTCTCTCTCTCTCTCTCTCCTAGAAAGAAAATTTAAAAAAATAAAAATTAAAAAAAATTAAAAAAAAAAAAAACTACTTAGAGAAACCTCCTACTAAAAGTAAAGCACGATGAGCACATCAGGACCGAGGATCAAAGAACAGAGGAAGCAGCAAGAAGCCGCCAAGTTCAGAGGCAGGGGAGGAAGCATGCACGGGACTCCAACAAAACACACAAACTGATGAAAACGGAGAGTGAGAGTGAAGTCAGTGGAGTAGGGAGCAGATTTTTAGCTTTCTGTATACTGACAAACCATTAAGAATATGAAAATAATCACTAGCGATGTTAAAGATGAAAGTTCTAAGTTTTGGGTGGGGCAAGGGGAGAGGAGTTGTTGAAAATAAAACAGCAGTTTGACTAAAACAAGTCAACAAAAGTAAGGAAAATGAAAAACTGGGACAAAAGAGTAACAATGAATACAAAGATAAAATGGAAGGACTAAGCAAATATGCAATTTTTACAATGAGTGAAAATGCCTATTAAGTCTCATTCCCACTGGTTTAAAAACCAGAAGCCAGCTATTTGTAATCTAGAAACCAACTAACCTAATAACTAAATAAAACCCTAAAATAAAAATTAAAAGTAAAGATACAGATAAAAGTAAATATTAATATTATGTAAACAAAAAGGTTACTATTAATACCCAATAAGACTACACAAGGAAGAAATATCTTATTGTGAAGTATAACTCAGCTGACATTTCTTTATAACTAGAAAACTCAAGAATCTTTCAAGAAAAAAAAGCAGATTAATAATAAGCACCTAAAGTGAAATATTCCTTTTATAATTTTACAAAAACTACCTTTAAAATCCCTAGAGACAAAACTAAGGCAAAGAACCTATAAAAAGAAAACTATAAAATCTCCTTGAAAGAGAGAAAATAAGCCCTGGGGGAAAAACACTACCACCTGACATAATATAAAGACATAAAATTCAATATGATTGAATAGTAAGACTATCATAAAAATGTCAGATCTCTCTAAATTTATATAACTATATATTATATAATTGCATTATTAATTTTCTGTATGATATAAAATTATATAACATTAATATCTGTAACTATAAATATATATACATGTACACATACATTCAACTGTTTTTCTCTGCATAAAATGATCTTAAAGTTCAGATGGAAAAAAAATTTCCAAACATAGTAAGAAAAATAGAAAATATAGTAAGAGAAGGCTGGCTTTACCAGATATCAGAACACACTATAAATCTGCTAATCAACCTAACATATCATCATAACATAAAATAACTAGATTGGAACAGAATAAAGAATCCAGAATTGGAACCACATGTGTATATGAAAACTCAAGACAAATGTGGTCTTTCCAATCAGTGGGGAACACAGACTGGTTAATAAATGGTGCTGGCATGATGGGCTACACTCGGACAAAAACTACGAAGAATCTCTATTTCACCCCAGATGCAGTAAGAGTCTTAAAGACCTGGATAACCTCGACTTCCTAGGGCAAGAAGATGTGAAGCAAGATAAAACAGTTCCAGCTTTTCCTTCATAGCCTCTCTTTGTCTATGCAAAAATAGAAAACTCTAAAGGCTAAAGGTACCGTAAACAAGGGTAAGAAAAAAAATGATAATTTTGCAGCAAACTGTTTAGCAACTCTCATCGAGGTACCTGGCTGCAAACAACAGAACCACTCTAGTGGAAAAAGAATTTGTTAATAAATGGTATCAAGTAACTCTGCGTCTCTGAGAAGGATAGAAAAAAAAATTAAGTTCTACTGTACCCTACATATATCTAGAAATAAATCATGAGTAGATTAAAAGCTGTATGTTAAGAAAGAATCCCTATAAAGTAATTAGTAAATACAGATGACATTTTCTTACTGCCGGGATGGGGAAGGGTTTCCTAAGCAAGAAATAAAACTTGGAGGAGTCAAGTAAACAATACCTAACTGAAATAAATACTAAATTCTGGTAAAAGAACACAAATGAAAATGTAGGTCAGACCCCACGTTCCCCACAGACTCCAGGGACAATGCTGAGCTGAAAAGTGCCAGGGGAAGCTGAAGCCCCTCTGGGCACCTTCTTACAAGCTTTTCCTCCCCACACAGGAGTAAAGGGCCCAGATGACTCATTAAGTCAACAGTACTTTCTACTGCCGCCCAAGGTTTCTTGCTCATGAGCAACCGTTCCTCATTCCTCTGTCCATACTGCTCCTGTCCATACTGGTGGGCCAAGGCCAGTCTGGTGGAACCTGTACATCACACTCAGACCCATCCTTGGACTGAGCCCATTCTCCCGCTAGGACACACCATGTCGAACAGCCGTTCCCTCCAAGTGTCATTTGTGTAGGAGTAAGATTTCACTTTTAACGTCCCGCACCAACACGATTTTACCTGCTCCGACTGGGTTAGGAGTGTATGGAGGCGGAGGGGGTACTCCTGGAGCTATGACGTTGGCTAATGGGACCAGACCTGCATTGTTATAAGCACCTAAAATAAAATCATAGGAAAGAAATATGATTTAGTATCATTCTGTGGCCATGAGGTCAAACCATATTAACACAGCTGTCTAATCTTTACAACTGTTACATGATAGAGTCGCATTCTACATGGGCGTCTGGGTCTAGTATTAGGAGAAAGCCGGGAACAAAGGAGACAACTGGATGATTTCCCACTGCGCGCTCATTCCGGATGGAAGCTCGCTGAATGGCACGGTGGGTAGATCCTGCCAGATTCAGATTATCTGCCTTTTTGGTCAAGCATACACGGTTGACCTTTTCAAGTTACATGTACTGAGGATACCTTTGAAAACCAACTCGTGAAATGGGATTCAAGATGATTTGCCAAAGCAAAAACCCATCATAATGATTAAAAGGAATCTATAATTAATTTACCAAAAGGTAAATACCCTAAACTAAACTGTCCGCTACATGGCTGTAGAACAAGACACTGGGCAGAATGAGACTCATCAGAGCACAGTTCAGAAGTGCTCCAATCTTCCCAAGTATATAGACCAACGTTTACTTTCAACCTAAGAAATAAAGGGCAAAAAGAAAACAAAGTAAAAAATGTATGAACCACTTACTTGGTGCGATAGTTGCGTGTGGCCGGCACGGAGGTATCGGATAAGGAACTGGCTTATGCGGATTGTATGTTGGAGGAGGCTAAGTGAGAAGTACAGCAGTTACAAGAAAACTAAGTCACTAGTCTCCCTGCAAAACAAAATATAACTTGTCTCTTGAAATATTTAGTAGTAAGAAGCTAAAAATGCTCCAACATATCACATGCTACTGGACCAATACACGGCACAAATGAGGGAAAGGGCTTTGCTTTAATAAATGTGGTTCCTATAAATTCCAAAGGCATATCCTGCAAAAGACTGCTGCAGAGCCGTTTTTATGTCAGTGTTAAATCCTCTCTCACGAAGGGTCAGATCTTATCCAAAACAGCAAACTCCTCTCTGACCCACTAGAGGTTAATGAAAAAATTCCCATCTCCTCTTCGGTAACACAAGAATCCCACTAGGTCTTGGAACCTCGGCTACCCAAGGGCTTCCAACATCCTCCTAAACTCACCAGAGATTCATCTTATCATTCTTACCCTCTTTTCACCTTGGAAGAAAAAAAGCACTATGTCCGTTAGCATCCAGCACTCTGACAACTCCACCAGAACACGGATTGGGATTACGAATTCAGGGTTTTGGTCTTCTTGCCTTTTGAAACCCACAAACCTTTTATTTTACAGTTCAGTTGGTCTCTGGAAAACCAGAGGTATCTGAAGCCACGTCAAACGCTGTACTTTTAACTACAGTGAGCAAGAGAGAGACCCTGCTTCAGGGAATCTCGCACTCCATGCTCTTGAGGCAGAGGGGATCCACTGGTAGTAAAAGACCTGGATTCCTTCTAGTTCTCATACACGGCAGCCCTGTAAGACGCACTAGTCTTGTGCAAGGAGTGTGATCTGTGACAACAATAAGCAACAGCCACTGGAGTTCCTGTCAGGCCAACAAGCAGGGACCGCAAGACAGCCGCGTAAAGGCCTCGACCACTTCAACTGGAACAATCCCCCAACCTTCAGGGTCATCTCTGGGTTTAGTTTATATCCTAATGAAGCATTATAACCGCTCCCTTAAAAATACCCTCACACTCCTGGCTCCACTCTTGCTTCACTGGTAACACTCATTTGGCCCCAACCTTAAAGTGCACTCGCCATGCCCCACACTCCTCCGAGGGGAACAGCTGAACGGGGACAGAGAAACAAAACAAAACGAAACAATCTGACTGACTGGTCTCACTTTGGAATAAAACATGGAACCTCAGAACGGCCTTTAACACTGTTAACTAATTAGGCGTTATTTCCCTGGACCATTCCCCTTCCTGGAGTTTCTGGTATCCTCTGAACTCTACAATACAAAACCAGAGTTTATGCTGTCTGCGTAAACAGAAAACTACACGTACCGGTTTGGATGGTCCAAGAATCCGTGCAGCTATTCCTTTGCCTTCATTAGTACATTCTTCACCATCTTTTTTCAAGGGGGTTCCCTAATTAAATAAACAAACAAACAAATAAATTTTTAAAAAAAGTATTGAGGAAAAAAAATCACCCCCAAACAAACCCCTCACACTGAAGGACTGAACATGGAAGGAGTTTAAGGACTTGGATTCCAGATCCAATCCTGACTTGGCTTTAAGACCCTGTTAAGGTCCTCAGGCCTTCCTCTGCCATGGAACCCTCACGACATGTTCAGGGACCCAGAAGCACACGATACACATGGGGATGACAGCAGGGCAGGATTAAGTAGGTCTTAATTTCTCCCCTGCACAACTGGAGTGACCAGAAATTGACTTCCATGCTACAGTAGGTATAACGTCCAAAGAATCAAAAAGAAAAAAGAGCACGTATATCACAGTCAGAAACAGAGTACAAAAATGATGTTCTCTATAAGCATTAAGTGTGTCACTTCATATTACACAAGAATAAATGAGATCTCATTCAAGACTGCTATTATAAACTGATCAGAATAGGCTGGCAGACCATTATGATGCATCCTTCTAAGAGTACGTCCCTAAACGGTACACACTAGTATGGAAGCCAACTTCCAACATGGCCCCCAGAGGTCCATACATCCTGTATGTCCTTGTAAACCTCCCTTCGAGAATGAATGGAGCTGACCTGTGTAACAAATAGGGTATTCCAGAAATGATGGCAGTTTGACTTCCAACACTACCTCCCTAAGAGACAACGCAGCGTCCACTTGCCTTCTCCTGGATTATGTGCTCGGGTGGAAGTCAGCTACTCGGTCAGGAGGTATTCAGGCAGCACTATGGGAAAGTCCTTATGGTGAGGGACAAAGACCCCCACCAACGACCACCACTAACTTGCCAGGCATGTACAGGAACCCCCTTGGGACCACAGTTTCAAGCTCCAATGGAGCCTTCAGATGACTGTAGCCTCATGAGAAACTCTCAGCCAGAACCAATCTAAGCCACTCCCAGATTTGATTCATAGAAACTGTATAATAAATTTTACTGTTCTAATCCACGGAGTTTTAGGGTTATTTGTTGTATCACAATAAAAATATACCATTCTTTGGATTATCTTATAAAGACATCTGAGGAACCAGACGGTATAAAAACAAGTTTCTTTCCTATAGGACTTCTCAGGGCCTTTATCATGCAATGTAACTCTCCAGGAAGAAAGCATTGCACACAGTTTCCCAAACACACTTAATTGTGAGACAGTCTGAGGAACACTGAGAATACGGGAAATAGTCCTTTATTAAGTGTAAATAAGTGCTTCTAACAAAACAAACTCATCCTCTTTTCTGTTTGGCTTGTTCTTCTACACATTTTACACACGTACTTTAACGTGGTTTGAACTTTCAGTCAGTAATGAATCCATGAACTAAGCTGCCGACATAACAAAATTCCTTTCCTTGGTAGAAGCATCATCAACAGGCATTTTCTTCAAACATCTTAACTGTGCTAAATTTCATACTCAGCCACAAGAAGTTTCTCACAGTCACAAATGTTTGCTTACTGGGAAAATTCCATTTATGCGACTAGGTTTTCCTTTGGGATATGGATTTCCTGGGATTGTGCCACAAGAAGATATCATAGCATGAGGAGCTTTGCAGCCCCCCTTGAAAGCCTGTAACATAATAAAAAAAAAAAAAAAAAAAGCAAACAAACTCATAGGTTAAGTATTCTGGATATGAGGAAGACCTGTTAGAAAACATGAATTAAGGAACAGCATCACATTAATCTGTTCATACATCGTCAGCACTTATAATAGTGAACATGACCAAAATTCTTTAGTAAAATCACTTTACTTACATGGAATTACTGAAGTGGTAATGTGTTTTTAATTAGTTTTCCTTTAGTCACAACTAACAGCATCCTACACAAAGATATCTCCACAGGAGATTTTGCAAATTGTCTGCAAAAAAGTCCATTTACTATTTAACATGTCCTATTTCTCTCATGAGCAAGAAATAATATTGTCCAACTCTACAAACACCAAGCTTACATCACAGGCAAGGCAAAGAGAGCAACAGATGACAGACATGGGCTCTGCTCTGAAGACATTTGTAACTTAGTGAAGAAAACACAAGTAAATGACATGGGAGGGTCTCTGGGTATACAAAGAGCTGTGCTGTTGAAAAAGTAAACTGCATTCATCATAATGTTACATAATTATGAGACACACTGAGGGATGTTCTAGCTATTTCTTATTGCATCCTCAGCTTCTATGATGGTACACTAACCAATCTTGAATTCATACTCAATAAATATTAAATGAATGAAAAACACTACATTATGTGACATATATCCCAATAGATCCGTATTATGCTACAGATACGAAGTTATATATGGCTACATTTCACAACTATGTACGATGTCACATATTCTGTTGTAGAAGTATATTGGTTTTATAAATTCACGCACAACACATATAATTAGCTATATAATCCAACCCTAAAAATTATCTCAATTTTTGCTTTTTATAAATAGTACCAGGGTAAATACCCTTATATACAAATTGGTATATATTTATTTATTTCCTCAGAATAAATTCCTAGTAATAGAATTTTGGGGTCAAAAGGCACAAATACTTAAAGGCTCTTCAAGTTTACCTTCTAGGAGAGCTGTACTAACTTACAATGACTAGAGAGCCTATTCCACAGAACAGTCAGGCCCATGTTATTTCTGAAAAGGAAAAGTGACCTGATCAGAATGCTTTATATGGAAGAAAAATAACAGCAGTAAATGCATGGTGCCTTAAAGAATTTCGTCAAGAAAACCAATGAAGAAGTTATTAACGTGAGAACTGTGGACTCAGATCTTGCTTCTGCTCCAGGAACTCAGGAGTAAGGCCAAGTTCTCTGCCGGCCCTGACTTAGCAGACGTGAGAGGGCTGAGTGTGCTCTGGCAGCCAGACCCCAGGACAGCAGTCCGCCTCCTCCTCAAGCAGCGTTTTAATCACTAATGCAGTTTCCAGCCATCATGATCTTAAGAAATAAATACCTTAAATGGCAAATCAAGTACGTTTGGATAAGTACCACTTCCTCCATTCTTAGAGATTCTAAAGTAGTAAACTGGAATTTTGCTATATATATCTCACAGATTTGATTAACGTAAGACTGATGACAAGGCGGGGTGGGCGCCTGGGTGGTTAAGCTTCTGACATCGTCAGCTCAGGTCAAGATCTTGTGATTTGTGGGTTCAAGCCCCTTGTTGGCTCTGTGCTGACAGCTCACACCCTGAAACCTGCTTCGGATTTTGTGTGTCTCTCTGCCCCTCTGTCTCTCTCTCAAAAATAAATAAACATTAAACAAAATTTGTTTTAAAAAAGCAAAGTTTAAAAAAAAAAAGGCTGATGACAACATAAATTTAAAACATCACAGTCCTAAATACAGAAGATTAAAGGCAAGAGCGTGGAGGCATGGCAAAGCTACCAGGGGACCGAGAATAAATACCCACTGAGGCGTAAGCTGAGGAGCCGACCGGGTGGCTCTCAAGCCATTTCCTCATCTGCCAGTACCCACCTCGCCCAGCTCTCGTCCTCCATGGGCTGCAGGGATGTCATTCCCGACCCACCGCACCAGGGCAGTTAGGCTATTTGTCACAGTTAACACAGGAGTAAGACCAGCACTTTCTTCTTCATCAACATTCAGAAAAACCCAGTGTTCTATTTATAGAGGAATCGTGAGAAAATTACCTGTTCAAGTACTCTCTTGCACCGTTTCTTCTCAGACATATTTATCCTGAATAAATCTTCGATAGGACGAGAATTCTGTGCATCAACGATGTTTCTACCAAGGAAATGCAAGTTAGTGTTTCAGAACCCGGACATACAATACAAAGGCCACAACCTTTACCATAGACTCTCGCTGAGTAAGCTCTTCCCCAGCGGGTGACCCAGGGAGAAGCGTGATTCGTTACTTAGCTTTAGTTGGTGAATATAAACAACATGCTTACATAAAATCGATAAATATAATAACTGAGCTGAGGCTCATCCGGTTACCTACAAGTAACAAAGTAATTCAATAAATAAGCACTATTCTGAGATTCTTGAAAATATACCCTCGCAATGAAAGGAAGGAGATCTACGGGAACAGAACAAAAACCATGTGGCCAAATGCATAAGAGTCATGGTTGATCTAAAACTGAGGCTCTACCTTGTGCTTTATTTTAAATTTGTACTTTTGTGCACATCTACAAAACACTTGTATAAGTCCTATATGTTATATAAGTCCCTTATATAGGGACTTCAAAATGCATGTGCTCTAAAAAAACTTCCTCCATCCTGCAGAAGAACAGGCCCTTTTTCTCCTTGAGCTGACATTCATTACGGTCCTTTATTCTGTGCTGGGTTGAGCATTTTCACATATCTCACAGTATCGAAAGTTCACATTCCCTTATCTTAACAATCGAGGAAAATGAGGTCCAGAAAGGATAATAGTAAGCCAAAAAAAAAAAAAAAAATGTTGATCAGAATGTAGCAGAACCTAACTATAAACCCTGTGGCTTTCTCCGTGAGCCTTTCAAACTATTTAGAATAGGCAGGCAACGAAATCATTGAAATGCAGAGAAAACACATAAATAATCTCTGCATGGCCTGTTATTCTCAAAGTTAAGACCACGTGCGATAAGTACACTCGATATTTAGATGTACAAATTTAGTCTACACTTTCACAGATTTTATTAGGGTGCCATTTACTAATAAAATCCTAACACACGTTAATGAGTTTAAAAACATTTAAAAAGTTTTCCAAATTTTCTCCAATAAAGTAAAAGGAAAGTGAAATACTTACGAAGCTAACAGCTCAAGAGCAACTAGCTTGTCTTTGCTGAAGGTGAAACATTTGAGTATATTGACCACTTCTGCTGGGTGAACAGCCACCATTTTCTATTAATATAAAAATAATTTTGTTGTCAGCATGAGAAATTTTCGTGCCAGAGATTGCCTTTTTTAGGGAGACACGGTTAAATGTTCTAAATGTAAATATTTGAGGTAAAACCACGTACTCAAAAGTAAATCCTAACAGCCATGTAAACTCGGCTTTTTCAATAGAACTATTTCAGTTGAAGACCTAAGTTCCTCATGTGCTCTTTATCGTTTCTCAATGTATTTACAGAAAAAAATGACTTACATATACTACTTTTTACAGAAAGGTTTTAAAAAAGGGGGTATTTATAAATATGGGAGAGAGTCTGCTTGAGAAGTTAGAAAAAAATTACATTCCTCAGTTAGAGCACTACGTATTCTAGAACCAGGGCTTGCTAGAGTGAAGTCCATGTGCTGAATGCTGTTACTAACAAAGGGTGACAGTAGAGTCACCTCAGGTAGGGAAAAACCAGGTTAAACAGTATGGGTATTAGTGTGCACGTGCATGAGCAGGGGAGGGGCAGAGAGGGAGGGAGAGAACCCCAAGCAGGCACTGTCGGCACAGGGCCCTACTCGGGGCTCTACCCCATAAAAAGTGACATCATGATCTGAGCCTAAATCCAGTCAGACACTCAACCGACTGAGCGACCCAGTCACCCCCTAAGCAGGATTCGTTACTGCAGAACTTTCTTTTTTCTTTATTTTAAGGTCTTATTTATTTCTGAAAGAGAGAGAGAGAGAAAGAGAGAGAGAGACAGCGTAAGCAGGGGAGGGTCAGAGAGAGAGAGGGAGACACAGAATCTGAAGCAGGCTCCAGGCTCTGAGCTGGCTGTCAGCACAGAGCCCGATGTGGGGATCAAACCCACGAACTGTGAGATCATGACCTGAGCCGAAGTCGGACACATAACCGACGGGACCAGATTTGTCGTTTCTGGCTAAACGACGATTCGTTACTGCAGAACTTTCTTAACAGTCTTCTATTACCACTCACTGTGATGCTCCAAGACTGTGTGCAATGCCACATAATGTGACTAGGGTACTTTTGTTTTGAAAATAAGATTCAGCCGATTTATAGATTTATGTTAACAGTGGAGGAAATTCAAAAGTCAAGTCAAGTCAAGGCCAGAAGATCATTTAGAATCATTGCCCAATAGATTCCTAAAATTTAGAGTAGTGGTTTTCAGACAATTTTATTCACGCTAGCACCAAGAGAATTGGTTTAACTATATAACCCTTTGCAAGTTTTTAAATTGACATCTAAAAGCTATGGCACAAGTTAAAATACCTACAAAAAAATAGATTTTTTATCTTCAGTTCATTATATATCTGTAAAAAACTTTGGATTACTGATTTAGTTCACTTCGTTTATAAAAATGTCTATTGTATAACCTAATTGTCAAGATTAGTCTTCAGTGTGAAAACCACCAAATCAAACTTACTTCGTCAGAAAAGGCTGGACTCTAAGTTGTGCCCATGCTAGGCTTTCACCTCTCAATACCTTAGAATCTTAATTCTAAGATTAAGATTCTAAGATAATGTGAGGTCCCCGTAAGTATTTCTTACAGAAGCTCTCTGCTTTGCTCTCCCTCTTAGAAAATTACATGGTCTCTTTGGTCCTTGGGAAAAGATTTTCACCCTGGGGTGATGGATAGATGGGGGAGATAAACTTTTTTTTATAAAGTTAAAAAAAATTGTTAAAGAGGAGAATCACTAACAGATCCAGACAGTTTCTTCACCACCTTAGGAAGCTAAGGATTTGTAGATTCCCTTAAAATTATCCATGCCTGATACTCCAAGGAGGATCTTCCTATATAGCCAGATACTGTTTTGACTTAAACATCTCCTTAAATTTAGGCTCTAGACCTGTGCTGGCCATACAGTAGCCACTAGGTACACTGCCTGTTTAAATGAAAATGAAATAGGTAATACAGTTCCATAGGCAGACTAGACACATTAAGTGCTCAAAAGCCACATGTAGTTAGTGGTTACCATATTGGAGAGCAGAGATACAAAACACTCCCATCATTGCTTAAAGTTCCATTCTGACAGTGTTGATCTAAAAAATGTAAATATGATCCCATCTGACTACCACTCTCAGACTAAATACAAGAGGATAAAGATATCAAAAATTTGAGGGGCGCCTGAGTTGGTTAAGTGTCCGACTTCAGCTCAGGTCATGATCTCACGGTTCATGGGTTTGAGCTCTGCGTCAGGCTCTGTGCTGACAGCTCAGAGTCTGGAACCTGTTTCCTATTCTGTGTCTCCTCCTCTCTCTGCCTCCCCTCACTCGCACTCTATCTCACTCTCTCAAAAATAAATGTAAAAAAAAATTTTAAAAACAAATTTGAAGGAAGTACATAAAAACACTTAAAAATTCAAATTCTAGGGCACCTGGGTGGCTCAGCTGGTTAAGCAGCCAACTTCAGCTCAGGTCATGATCTTGTGTTTCACAAGTTTGAGCCCCACCTGCTTCAGATTCTGTGTCTCTCCTTCTCTCTCTGCCCTTCTCCCACTCATTCTGTCTCTCTCTCAAAAAAAAAAATAAATAAACATTGCAAACTTAAAAAAAAAATCAACTTCTGTGGGGAGGGGAGTACCTGGGTGGCTTAGCAGGTTAAGAGCCCAACTCTTATTTTGGCTCAGGTCATGATCTCATGGTTCATCGAGTTCAAGCCCTGCACTGGGTTCCAAGCTGACAGTGCAGGGCCTGCTTGAGATTCTCTCTCTCTCCCTTTCTCTCTGCCCCTTCCCTGCTTGCACTCTATCTCTCAAAAGAAAAAAAACTAAAAAAAAAAAAAAAAAAAATCAGGGTGCCTGGGTGGCTCAGTTGGTTAAGCATCCAACTTTGGCTCAGGTCATGGACTCCTGGTTTGTGGGTTCAAGCCCCACATCGGGCTCTGCACTGACAGCTCAGAGCCTGGAGCCTGCTTCAGGTTCTGTGTCTCCTTCTCTCTCTCTGCCCCTCCGTCACTCATGCTTTGTCTCTCTCTGCCTCAAAAATAACTAAAACGTTTTAAAAAAATTCAAATTCTATGTTTTGTTTGCCTATAAATATTTTCTCTTCTATTCTGCCAATTAGGATCCTATGGTATGCACGTTAATAGTAGAGTACACACAATTTAAATTCACAGTTTGGGAAGTCTTAATTTTTTTTAACAATTATTTGATTAATCAAAGTATAATAAAACTTAGGATTCATTTTTCTAATGCAAACAACTTACAACCTGAGATCAATTACAGAAAACAAGGGGAAGATTCAGGACACTGAAGTTCTACATCCTAAAGAAAAATGTTACTTACGTGTTGTAATGCTTTCATTGCCTTTAACTGAGGCTCAGCCCAGGAGAAATATCTCAGTAAATCAACCACCTGAAAAAGCAAAGAACTCCTTCAGCTCTAAAGATAATGTATTTGCAAACACTTCTACAGGATTTGTTTCAGTACTTAGAGTTACTATTCGGTGTCGCCTGGCACAAACCACTGTCTAAGTGCTCACTGGCTATCTGAGGTAGTACTTAGCAAAATGAGCAGTGCAAAAAGAGAACATTTCACAGAATCCAGGGTAGCACCGGTATAGAAATAAACAAGAAGTATAACGCAGAGGAAAAACAAAGCACCTAAAGAAAAAGAAGACTGGAAAAGTACTAGATGGAGATAAAATGTCAGTTTAGAAACATAAGGCTGTATTACAAATGGAAAACTTTAAAAACTTGGTGGAGAGTGACAGCTTTAATCCATCACAAAACTGTTCAGTGGTGTGGGTTAGAGCGGGTCCACTACCTCCTGGTCCTTCCCTTGAATCTGAAGGGCACGGATCTCATATCTGTACCACAGATCTTTTCTCTAAAAATGTAAGAATCACCATGAGTTACTCCAGCAACTTCTAAACAGTAGGTGATTTTGAGAACACAGTTAGCCATGCTCTTCCCCCACTACAGCCACCAGCGATTTTCAAATGAACAAGGGAGATCCTATGAGATCGATTAGAAAGATGAGGAGGGCATTCCGGTCACAACACTGCACAGCCACCACCACCCTGCTCACTGCCTCCAAGCGAACTCCAAAAGGAAAAAAAAAAAAAGACTCAAAGAGAGAGTAATAAAATCTGGGTTAGTGAATTAATGTATTATGGTTTCAACTACTCTACAAAGCAAAACTAATGCTAGAGACTGGAGTGGCATATGAAGAACAGAAAATACTTTTACTCCTTAGAAAGTGATGTGTATTTGCAAATGAGTATTATGCATGCGTTCTTTACTGTTATGAGAATAATGCTTTTACTATATGTACATAATAAACGCTGTCACTTTACCAACCAAAAAAAAAAAAAAAACCATTACCATCATGCCTGAGACAGGAAGAAAAACAAAAACCTTCAATACAATAAGGGGGCTTAGAAGGTCATACTTAAATAACAGCTTTTGGTTTTTTAAAGTTTTTGATGACTTTAGCAAAGTGGAATAACCATCAAGGGTAGTTTTCTACAAAATTACACACACACACACCCACACCCACACCCTCTAAAGAAGAAAAGTTATTATCTGTGAGAAATTAAAATCTTTGTAAAACATTTAAATTAAGCATAAGGGGATTCTGCAAAGTAAGGGGGCAGCTGAAAAACACTCATTACACAGGCAGCAATACATGTAATTCTTAAAGTAGCTTTTAGGGATTTAGCAGTCAAGAAAAACCTCTACAGGCTTAAAGTTATCCAAACTTCAAGTTTTAAAAATCTTGAGCAACAGATGAGAAGTTGGAGCATTTACTAACTCCACCTACAGGCTCATCTACTGTCGACCCCTCCTCATTCCTACCCTTTCCCAGAAGTCTTCTCCAGGTGCACATTTCTCTTTCTGCCCTATTTCTCTATCAAGCATTTTCTAAGTATTCCTCAGAAATCAGGCCTCTGGATGTAGGTGGTGTGCATTCATATATATGCATATGCATTTTTTAAATTAGCAAACTCCCCCTAAAGCTGCGTGAGTTTTCACTGAACTACCCCGCTTAAAACATCATTCATCCAGCAGTGACACAGGCTACTTATTAGACACCGTATTTTGTCTTCTTCTTGCTAAATGTTTACTTAGTGGCTTCATATAAGAACCATAATTCGCCATTTGCTCAAGTTTTCTTTTTAACGTGTAGTGAATTTTGTAATTACCGACTTAGAGATACTGTACAAATTTGGGTATGTTTACCATTAGGAGTTTATAAATTTATGATACTGTCCTCTGAATAAATACTTGAAACTGCTCTTGGACACTGAATTTGAAAATGTTACCAGGGACACCTGGGTGGCTTAGTTGGTTAAGTGTCAGACCACTTTGGTTTCGGCTTGGTCATGATCTCACAGTTTGTGAGTTTGAGCCCCATGTCAGGCTCTGTGCTGGCAGCTGCAGAGCCTGGAGCCTGCTTGGGATTCTTGGTCTCCCTCTCTCTCTGCCCCTCCCCACTTGTACTCTATCTCTCTCTCAAAATAAACAAACATAAATAAAATAAAATAAAATCATATTAACACAGGCGCCTAAGTGGCTGAGTCAGTTGAGCATCTGACTCTTGATTTCGGCTCAGGTCATGAACCCAGCACCCTGGGATGATGGAGCCCCTCGCAGGGCTCCACACTGAACCTGAAGCCTATTTAAGATTCATTCATTCATTCATTCATTCATTCTCTCTCTCTCCCTCTTTCTTTCTCTCCTTCTGCCCCTCTCCCCCGCTCATGCTCTCTCTAAAATAAAAAATAAAAATAAAGTTAATATATGATATTGCAGTGAAAGTAGGTATGTTTATAAAATACTCTTAACTATAAACTAGGTAAAATTTTCTCCCACTTGAAAGCTTCTAAAGTCCTTGAATAAATACAGCAACAAACTAAAAGTCTGAACAAGAGTAAAAAAAAAGATTTGTGTGTAAACAAATACCTGTTCACTAGAGAAATATCCATGCACATATTCAATTGCTTTTAATTTGTACTCTGTCAGAACAGCCTAAAAAAAGAAAAATAGAAAAACAGGATTAGTATACGCAAGCTAAACAATTATATGCATATATTGATATCGCCCAAGCATCATGGCAGCCCTTCTTCAGCCCCAGCACAGGCAGCTAAAGTCACTATGGGGACATGACATTCTACCCTTCCAGGTTCCACGCTGTAAGGGATACACGGAGACAGCAGGGACATCTCCTGCATCTCCCTACTCACTCTTACAAGGAAAAGGAAGAGAGCTGCAGGAGAGAAGATTTGACGTTAATACAAATTCCATACGGAATTCCTGTAAATGTCATTAGAGTTTCAGAACATCCCAAAGTCAACCAAACTGTCACTTTTGAGGAGACTAATTGTATCAGACATTATTCATGTACTCACGCATCAGTTATCAAGCAGCTCTTATGCGCTAACTGATAGAGAAACAGGAACGACAAGGTCTGGTCAGGTTCTCAGTATTTCCACTAGAACGGAAGACCCCCAGGGACGACCCTCACTTTAATCTGTGTGTCTGCTACTAGCTGGCAGTGTGGCCTTTGGAAGGCATTTTAATTACCCTGAGAACCTTTTTACCCATAAAAAGGGAAAAACATTCACTATCTACCTCAGAGTTGCTGTGAAAATTAAAATAGTCAATAGTAGATCTGACATATAATAGTACTCAGTACGTTATGGTTTCTTTCCTCACAGGGCCTCTATCAACGGGAAGTTCAGAGAGAAGTACGATGGTCTTAACCAAGCACTATCCACAGCCGTCTGAAATCACATGTTGTCCTTGCAACTGTCTGCCAGACTTAGAGATGAAAACAATAATTTAGTAACTACTAATCATTAAAAATCAACTAATCCCTTTGTGTTTACTATAAAACAATATTTGTACTTGGCATATATATCATTTTGCTAGGAAAAAATATGAACAGCTTACTCAAAGAAACATCCAGGTTGCCTAGTTGTTTCTCAATGAAAAGAGAAGTGAGGAAGAGAGAACGGGATTCTGGGTAAGGTACTGTTACTGTTGAGATGTAATCTCTGGAAGTGATTATCTGGTTTAAACCAACTTATATTTACAAAGTCTGAAAGCAATTTAAAAAAAAAATACAATAGCAATTTTCATTTAGATATGCCTACGTCTTTATCCCATTTTAATAGACTTAAGACAATGTTGACATATCTACTTTGGCATAGACAGCAAAATATCTATTTTGCTTGCAGACCAGAAATAAAGATTTACATAAGAACGTAAATTGCTATCTCATGTATGATTTTAGTCACTGGAAAATATCCTATTCCCCTCATTAGTATTTGTGTGTGTGCATGTGTGTGACCTTTTCACAACATAGAGGCGAGAGATCTTGCAAATTGTACCTTATAGCTTCCAAAAGTAGAAATCTACTGGTCTACCTGAACAATTTACTTCCTCATAATCAGTAGTTAAATATCAGCTCATGAACAAATTGTTACAAATTCTAAACATATAGTTGACAAGCTGATATTTTATTGCAAATCTAACTGGGACAAATCGGACTTGCAAAAGCTGACATTTTGACCAAAAACAAGATTCAGCATTATCAAACATGTAAATTTAACCTAACACGCGAATCTGAAAAACAGTTTTATGAAGGATGAAGAAAATTAACACTCTGCTTTATAGAGAATGCAGAAAAACAGCACGTTCACAAGCAGTTTCATTAATTTCATATTAATTTCATACTTCATTGAAATAAATCAATCAGGACATAAAGTAACAAATCCTTCTCCGTCAGTCAAGGTTACGGTTTGGAAATGGCAAGAAGTTCTAAGCAAAGCACTCAGCATTAGCATACTAATGGTACAAGTCACTCCAGGTATTTGCTTGGCTCAAGGCTAAATTCCAAATTCTGGGAGGTAGGTTACATACAACAGCTTCAAAAGCAGCAAACATTTAGAAAACCGGAAGAAAAAAAGTGTTGAAATTCAAGTTACTGAAGCCCATTCGTAAGAATGTGACTTTAAACCTAATGACATTTGGACATTGTGTCCGTCCAGGCAACACACAGCCTATCTTGAGATTTGAAAAACCTGCCATGAGAACTACCATTAAAAAGTAGTTCTAATTTTCAGTGTTAGGTTACTGAAAGAGGAGACAAAAAGTTCAGAAATACTAACTCACTTTTCCGCAAATACAGAGCTATTAAAGATTTGTAGAGCCGGCTTCAGAAGGAGGATTCTTTGAATATATTTTCCACGATACCGCGCTGATTGTCAAGTTCAGCGTTACTAACTTAATTTCTATTTGTATCGTGAAATGTATCAAGATTCAAGCTCCTATAGTGGACATTAAAATTCCAACCAATTTTGCAATCCTAAAACTCGTTACTTTGTACCATCGGCACGCAGTCTCTCAAACAATTAACGACGAGAATTCGTAGCTCATTGATTGATTCAAGGAATTACGTGAAATTACCTTTCTAATTTCATCCAACACCGTTTCAAAGGACTTTTTGTCCATCTTGATTAGTTTCGACGTGGTTTAAACAGCTGCACTCTCAATCACAAACGTTCATCCCTGGTCTGCTCCAATAGTAAAAATGTTTACAGCGGAGGAAAGACTCCAGGAGCAAGAAAAAGGATGCAAAGAGGTAGGTAGACAGTACTTCAAACTCTGCAAAAATTTCTAAAAATGGACACTTATAAAAACTTTTTGTTAAAAGCAAAAACCGTCAGGCGTTCCCAGCTTCATGCAAAGCTTCAGGACACCTCGGGGAAGAGCCCCGGTGCTCTCTGAGTCCTGCAGAGAAGCCCCGGGTTTGGCAGCCGGAGCTGAGCTTCGGTTCCCTGCAACGGAAGGCCAGGCGCCGCCGGGGACAGGTCGTGAAGCCGCTCTCCCGGCTGGAGCGGCCAGGAGAGCAGAGGCACCTGCGCCCCGGGTCCTGCGGGCGGCGAGGAAGGAGGTACCGGCCTCTCAAACCCGCACCAGCGCCTCGGCCGCCGGTCGCCGCCCCTCACTGCCGCGAACCTGGACTCATGGCCCGACTTGCGCTCAACTCCAGCAGCTGCGCTGGCTCCCGAGTCCCGCAGCCCGGGCAGCGGAGGCCGGGCAGGCTCTTTGTTACCAGCTGCCACGGCTTCCGGGAGCGGGCCGGCAGCCGGGGAGCACCGGGAGCCGGGCAAGGGGGCCTCACTCTCCGGTAGGGGGGCTCCCGAATACCGCGGCGCCCACAGCGTCTAGAGCCCTTCCTGGTTACCCCTACAGCTCCCACCGGCTCCTGGGGGCCTTTGACGAGGCCCGTCGCGCCCCAGTAAACTCAACCCTGCGCCGACGGCTTAGGCCTCTCTTTCCCGAAAGCCAATGGAGGGGTCCTGGTGTGGGAACGTAGGTGTCTATAGCAAATGCCTGGATTCCTCTGAATCGGAGGTAGCCGGAATCGTTCTCAGAGCTTGAAGACCATTTTTTGAGAGTCACATTTCTATTTTCCTGGTTCGAATGTGCTCGAGTATGATTTTTCAAACTTAATTTTTAAAAAATGAACGTCGAGTGGTTAAGGCATATCTATGGATACCCTTATTTTTGGCGGACGGGCGAAGTCCACAGTGTGGACCGCCCCAAGGGGCGGAATAGGGTGGTCAGCGGGTCAGCCCGAGCCGCGTGACCTGGGGGCGTGGACCCCGAATGCGCCGAGAAACCGCTACCTGAGCTCTGATTTTCTTTCACCCCGGTCTCCTCTTGGTTCTCAAAACCCGCACATCCAGGGAGAGGGAACTGGAGATAGGAGCTTGGGCCCCGAGGTTGGGCCGTCGCCCTATGCAGCGACGAATCGCGTGAACCTGAGGCCGTTCGGTGACCCCCAGCCGCCTGCGGACCCTTCCGTCTCGTCATGGCGAGATTCTGGGTCGGCCTGGCCGGCGCCGGCTTCTTTCTTGCGTTACTGGTTTTGCATTCGCGGTTTTGTGGCTCCCCGGTGAGTTGAGCAGTGAAGAAATGTGTGTCGGGTGTGTGGGGACGCTGTTGAGACGCGACACCGCTGGTGCGGGGTGCGGGTGGAGGGCTCTGTCTCCCGCACTAGCTTGTCTCAAAACCCGCACCGGGGGCGCAGCTGCCCACGTCTCGCTTTGTCTCCACGGGTTAAAAAGTTTGTATATGATGCACCGCCGATTTCCTGTGTTCTTTCTTTCCCCAGATCCCGCTACGTCTCAAGTAATTTGCAGGTTTGTACGGTGGCCCCCTGGGTCTTCAGGCTCTAAACCCATTCCCGAATCATTTCTGTCCAGCTGTCTCAGCACCTCCTTGCCACGTGTCAGGGCATGCTTAAAAATAAGCATTTACCTGGGGTGTTTTTTTTTTTTTTTTATTTAACCTAGAGAGTAAATTGAATCTTAAATTTTTTTAAAGGTTTTAAGAAAATTTGCTTTTCAAGTTTCTTGGAGAACCAAGGAAATTCTATACCGGCTGGATGTGGATTGGCCTAATCATCCTGAATACTTCACTGGAGCGACATTTAGTGTTGCAATTGACTCCCTCAGCGGATTGGTTTACGTAGCCCAGGTGAGTAAAATAGGGATTAAAAAAAAATTATTAACACAAAAGAAACAACTTCCTGTTTTGCTGCTGGAAGTAACCATATATGTTTACATTATGCTAGTTGTGAAATTTGGCTTTTGGATTGGCTTTAAGTAAAATATTTTGGTTTCGAATGTAATAACTCATATTGTTAGGTTTTGAAGCTGGTTTTCTGAACGTTATTAAATTTCTCAATTAACCTTTAATTTTTGTTTCTCTCTACCAAAGTAAAGATTACTTTCTAAAAACTGATCCTATCTAAGCAGTTATTTTTATATACCTTCAGAGAGGGGATAACATCCCAAAGGTATTAGTGTTCACAGAGGATGGATATTTCCTACGATCCTGGAATTATACAGTTGACAAACCTCACGGTATATTTGCAGCCAGTACACTACATGAACAATCTGTCTGGATCACGGATGTAGGAAGTGGTATGTGTAGTAATATCTCTTAAATTATCTTGCTAGAAATCCTATTTTTATCCCTGTTCTTGCTTATATGCTTTAAAATCAAGAATTGCTAAATCTAATCGTAATTTCTTTAATGACTTATGAAATCACTTCTTTCTAAAAATCTTTACATTGTATTTCTGTAGAGTCAAGACATTTAACAAGGAGGCTACAGTTGTGATTTTTCCATTAACATGTCAAGGGACTTTTCCTCCTTAAAGTACCAGTTGTGAGAGTATACTTTCAGGGATGTTTTTATACTTTGTTAAAAACATCAGCTGCTCCTCACAGGTTAAATAATTGTAAACCTCTTCTGTGAAGCCAGAAAACTAGCAATCTCTGAAAATTAAGGGAGTCCCTGTCTCGTTTTCCTTTACCAGTTCTCTTTCAAAAGAGATTGTGCCAAGAAACCAGAACTACATTGTTCCCTAAAATGCAAGATTTTCAGAAACTGCTGGTGTTAATGTGTCTGAAATCCTACCAGCTCCAGCATGTCTGAAATTTTCCTTCCATCAAGTATTTTTAGTAGAGTGTGTTGTAAATCAAAGGAAGCACAGTTGAATTTATGGCTGTGAATGTTTTCAGAGGTAGCTGTTGGCGTATTCTTGTGGCTTAAGACAAGACACTACCAGAGATAACCTGTCATTATTATTTCAGGATCTCAGGAATGAGTGGGATCATAAAGATAGTATTTCTAGTAATCTTTGGCCCAGTTACATTCATGGCTTGAAGGACCTCCTGTTTCTTCACTTCTTGCTAATTCAGATGCCACTTTGGAATTAATGAACTCTCAGTTTCTGAGGTGCTGTTAACTATTTGTTCTCAGAACCCTAGAGATTTCTGAGCCTCAGCCGATAATCCATTTATTTCAAAACGTAGTTTGGATGGTAAGATTTTGGTTAGAAAATAATCTAGACTACTTCTGAGTTCATTCTAATACTGTAATGAAATATGGCTTTTCCACTCCTTTTTCCTCCCAGGATTTACTGTTAAAGGCCTTTACTTTTTAATTTATTCCATTCACGTGATTTTTTTTTTATAAACTACTTCACTGATTCCCACAAATAAAAAGAACACACATGACCTCTTCATTCTTTCCATTATAGCTGTTTTTTTTCATGCACAAATCCAGAGACACTTTATATTCCTTCCCATATTTTGAAGAAATACATTCCCTTTAATAAAAATATGGCTGTAAATGAGCCTATTAAAAGAAAAAAACTCCACAACAATGTTCTCTACTGGTATTCTGTGTCTTTTGCCAATTTTTTAGAAACTTTGAAGATTGCATTCTGTAATAATATTATGTTCTCTTATTATTGCTACAAACTAACTCAAACTTTCAAGTCAGGTATAATAATAAATACATTTTTTTAAGTTAGAATAAATATACTTTTTAAGCTCAGTGTATCCAGTTTTTTTATTTTTTTTAATTTTTTAATATTTTATTTATTTCTGAGAGAGAGACAGCATGAGCAGGGGAGGGTCAGAGAGAGAGGGAGATACAGAATATGAAACAGGCTCCAGGCTCTGAGCTAGCTGTCAGCACAGAGCCTGGCACGGGGCTTGAACCCACGAACCAGTGAGATCATGACCTGAACCGAAGTCGGACACTTAACAGACTGAGCCACCCAGGCACCCCATGTATCCAGTTTATTTTTTGAATGCCTAACAGTTAGTTTGGTCTTGGTATGCCTTCAAGTTGATTTCTGTTAACTGCTCTATGGTTTTTTTCCTACTTACTAATACCTTACTTTATATTTTTGCTTTTAAAGAATTTCAATTCAAAGAAGTCTTAATGTAAGTGAGAAGATATGATACTAGCAATTTGGGAAGATGTATTCCCTTCTTAGGAAAAAAGTTAATGAGTTGAATTTGAACTTGTTTCCACTAGGAGAAAGTGTAGTTTTAAAAATCTGTATTCTAGTGAACTTTTTGTTGACCTACTAAAATTTGAGAGTGTATGATTGACTGAAATAATGATTTTCAAATATAAGTTCCTTTTCCAGTTTTTTCCCCAAGGAATGCTTATTCAGGGTTGTACTTATGATGAAAAAAGAAAATGATATACCCATAATTTAACATCACAAGTTTCCTGTATAAGGACCCAGTTGTTTGGTTTTATTTATTTGAATTTAGAATCTGCTTATTTTGGAGTACCTGAGATTTTAATTCATAACAAATTTGGTTGGCACTAATGAAGAAGCTCAATTGCTTGTGAAATACGGCATTCAATTATCTGAGCCTGTTAACTTTTTGTTACTGTTTAAATTTTTGCTTTCTGCTTGCTTGAAAAACATGAATGTTTGGACAGTAGTTGTATTTGTGAAGTGTGTGTGTTTGTCTTTATAGGATCCTATGGTCATACTATTAAAAAGTACAATTCCTTTGGTGATCTTGTTCAAGTCTTGGGCACCCCAGGCAAAAAAGGCACTAGTTTGAATCCCCTGCAATTTGATAACCCCGCAGAATTATATGTAGACGACACGGGAGATATTTACATTGTGGATGGAGATGGAGGATTGAATAACAGATTGATCAAATTGTCCCAAGGTACCTGGCTTAATTTTGTATGGTATTATAAGAATATTATTTAATACATTGGATTTGCTTAATTTGTTTGATACCTGGTAAATATAACTATTACATGTTATATATGAAGCTGTGTATAAAGGACTCAGGTGAGTTGTGTGGGATGGCCAATAATAAATGATTCTCATAATAGGCTTGCTTAATTCTCTCTCACAAGGTAGGCGTTTGCTTTGATTGAAACTGGAGGCAGTTTGGGGGTTTATAGTGGGCTCAAGAAGTAAGTGGTTATCCTATCCAGTTAAGAGTGAGGAGATTAGGAATCTGGCTTCCCAGAGCTGAGATATCCTTCAGTTTGATTGATCAGCTAAGGGTTTCATTGTATTTAGTGTTGTGTGTCAGTAGTATTCTAGGTGCAGGTCTATGTCAGATGGAACAGTTAAATGGTATTCCGTGGTATGGGTTGTTAAGGTAAAATAACATAGGAGAAGGAGAAACTACCGTTGACTGGAGAAGGAGGGCAAGAGTTCATAAAAGAAGTAGCTCTTGAACTAAACTGATTTTGGTGGGAGAAGAAGAGGGATGGGAGGAGCGATCCCAGGCTCTATCACACAAGGTCTGCAGGTGGTAATAAGCAAGTTTTACAGGAAAGGAGCTGAGGATGTAATTTTTGAACAGTGGGAAGTAAGATTTGGGATGTTCTTGAAGCCTTAGCTATGAGTTTTGAAGCCATAATTTTGCCTTTAAAAAGTCTAAGGCTTTTTAGTGGGACAGTTATGTTATAGAAGCAGAGTTTTTACATGACACTGTATCAAGGTATATTTGCAGTAAACTCTGTCATTTGGACAGAACATAAACTCCTACGTGGAGGCTATGTAGTCAGCTTATCAACCAATAACTAAGTTTGGTTGGCGATAGCTAAAGGGAGGTGAAATGGGGATAAAGCAAGAATCAAAAAATTCTCTGAAAGAACCCCAGGAGAAAGACTGAATGTGGGTGTATTGGTTTCTTGTGGCTATGATAAAAAAAAAAAAAAAAGGAAAAAATTGCCACAGGTGCACCTGGGTGGCTCAGTCAGTTAAGCATCTGATTTTGGCTCTGGTCATGACCTCAAGGTTTGTGAGTTCAAGCCCCACTTGGGGCTTGTTCGAGCCCCTCTTGGGGCTTGCTGCTGTCAGCGGAGAGCCCACTTTGGATCCTCTGTCCCCTTCGCTCTCTGCCCCTCCCCCACTAACTCTGTATCTCTCTCAAAACTAAATATTTTTTTAAAAATTGCCACAAACTGGATGGCTTAAATGGAAACGTATTCTGTCGTGGTTTTGAGATGCAGAAGTGTGAAATCTAACGGGCAGGCCGTGCTCCCTCCAGTGGCTCTGGAGGAGAACCCCTCTTTGCCTCTGCAGCTTGCTGTGGCTCCAGCTCCCCTCGGCACAGTGAATCTCCAGACTCTGCCTCTGTCTTCAGATGGCCGCCTTTTCTGTGTGTGTCTGTCTCAAGTCTCCCGCTCCTTTCTCTTACAAGGACACTAGTCGTTGGATTTAGTGTCCACTCTAAATCTAGGATCATCTCTTCACAAGATCCCTAACTTTGTTACATCTCTGAGACTCTGCGTCCAATAAAGTCACCTTCACAGATGCAGGATCCCCTGTTACTCAGGCTCAGACGTAACTTTTGGGCGTAGAGGTACAATTCAACCTATCATGGGGGTAATAAAGGAGACAATATGAAACATAGTGTGAATTACTAAGCTCAGAGGAGTTGTAATATAAATTAGTTGGGAAGGAGTACCAGTTTGAGGGAGATGTTGACATGAATCACAAACAGTGGTTTTCAGTGATAAAAAATTCAAACGGAGATAGTCATTAAAGAAGTCACTTAATTGCTTCAAACAAAGAAGGAATTTTGTTTCTTCTGGTGAAGCATAAGAATTAGACAAATTGGTTTATAAACAAAAAGCCGGAAAAGCATAATTATAATAGGCGTTATAATTGAATAGTATGTTTGCAACTTAAGACATAAAATATAATATGCAAAGGTATAAGGTATTCTATATGTGGCTCTGACCAACTATGTTTACCTCTGTCAGATTTTATGATGCTTTGGCTGCGTGGAGAACGGGGGACGGGGCCTGCCCAGTTCAACATACCTCACAGTGTTACAGTTGATTCAGCTGGTCGGGTAAAAATACACTCATTGTGTCTGGAACTGTGTATCTGTGTGTGCGTGTGTGCGCGTGTGTGTGTGTGTGTAGTGTATGGACCTATACATGTAGATCTTGGTGCACATGTGTGTGTCCTGACATCTAAATATGTATGAACGTTTGTGGTTGTGTGTATCTGAGTACGTCTGGGCAGTCTCTTTGGGGCTGGGGATACCCACATACTCTTATAAATGTTTGGGTCCCGTAGTGGAGAGAGTTCCCCAAATATTTAAAAATGAACAAAATAGATTTTCTATGTCACTTAAAGGTAGAAGGAACAAATAAAGGAATAGACCATAAATGAAGTTACCTGAAAAAGAAACGAGTCGCCCTCCCACTAAGAAAACTACGACATGTTTGAAAATACTTTTAACTTTAGAATTAAATTAATTCTAGAATAATGTTGGTCAAAGGGGAGAAGGGAGAGGTCAGTTTTGGGACCTTGAAATCAAGAGCCACCTAGGCAAGCTCCCTTCTCACTAGCTCCAGTGTGAGGAATAGAAAACTTTCACTGACACCTTTCAACCCAATTCTTTTTTCCCACCCCGTCTCTTTTGCACACCTGTAAGTATACATACCACTTCTTTGGGGCTACTTTCCCAAGACCAGATCCCCGGCCTAAATATTACCTTAGTTTCTCCTTCTGTTTTCCTGTAGTGGCCTGTACTTCTTCATTATGGTAACTGTCACACTGTCATATCAATGAATCGTCTCCCATGACAGTGTAGACGGCATACATGCACGTACTGAAGCTCTTTTGCTTTATACCGTGGTGCCTGGCGCAGAGTAGTCACCCTGTACGTAAGTGAAGTGACTCAACGACTTTCTACGCAGTGGGTGCACCAGACAACCTTGGCTTCATACCGTGAGGAATTTAATCCCTTTCCACTTCTGATTCTGTGGTCGGCAAGTGACCTTCTGATTGTGATTTGGCTTCCTATGTAGACCAAGTGAGAATGTTTTAATCATAAAATCTTTATAAGTAGTTCTCAGTATAGACAGGAAGGTAACTGAACATGCGAATTCTGCCTGTAAGCGGGGAGCTAAAGAGTTGGAGTTCTGGTTTTAAACACATGACACTGCTGAGCCTGGTTAACTTCTCCCTTTGTGGGATAAGAACAAAATCCAGTTTCTGAGTAGGCAAGACTTAGACGCTGGTAAATTCTCCACAGTGATAAGTGCCCCTTTGAGAGGCCTTGGAGAACATCTGATGGACGTACTCTGGCTTCTGAAGGAGGAGACAGGATGTTCACGATGTTCAGACGCGCTCATGTTGTAACCACAGCCCTGCTCTTCTGAACATTTTACGTGACTAACTCATTTAGTCCTCACCCAGCCCTGTGTGAAAAGTTCATTAGGTGCAGAGCCCAACTTGCTGGTGTTTCTTAAACAAGATTTCTCCGATTGTGTTCAGTAGAAAGATAACGGTAACAATCTAAAGTATTATTCAATCTTAGGATCTAAATTACATTTCTTCCTGGGTCACTCATCTAAGACAATCCCAAAATCATTAAGGAATCCATTCTTACTAAAGAATCCGGAATCAGGAAAAGATCTTGAGAAATTGCCTTACTTAGCGATCAGCACCCTTTCTGAAGTGACACAGCGAGTCCTTATTTGTGTCTTATTGTAGATGAGTTTAGTGGCTACTATAATTCACACATATTGACAAATACATAGTCAGGGTTACCTTGAAGAAGTAGTCCCTGAATCCACAAACCCAGGATCCTGAAAGGAGGAGGTGGAGGTCAGCGGGGCTGGCCCATACTGCCGGTCCATTCTTGCATAATCCTAGCTGCGTGTCATAGAATCACTTCACTGTCTGTATGCTGTAGGCTGCACGCGTCAAATATAGTACAGGAAAGGCCTTTTAAAGTGAATCTGCTTTCCTGTTTTATAACAAGTTTCCTTAGTAACTCATACCAGCCTGTAGCAAAACTAAATTAGACCCATTGTTAGGCTCCTGTCGTTCTTAAAAGCTCCTGAAGTCTAAGCTTCCTCTTTCAGTGGTTGGCACTTGGGACGTACCGTGGTAAAGAGCAGGTGGGTGTTGCTGCAAAAGGAGTGAACGCCCTAGCCTGAGCGTCCCCAGGAACAAGGCCGCGTTCCCTTACTTCTGTCTTCTGAGGAACTGACAGAGTAGCAGTACTCAGCCGGAAACTGATTGTCCTGGGAGAGGAATGAATGCTGTCCCTCCTCAGTGCCTCTAATCTTCCGCATCATAATGGAGGACTCCGGTTTTCTTGTTATTCAGATGTTTGATAGAGCAGACCCGGGTATTCTCTATGGGCTTTGACCTAAGACGGTGGCTGGTAGTGGTCTCCCACTTACCAGAAGCTCACTTCGAACAAGGGATTTAAACTTTCTGAACTTTAATTTCCTGTCTGGAGATAGGGCTTTCTTGGGGCCCTCTAAGTACCAGAGGAGATGATGTATGTGGAACGTCCATCCCGCCCCTCTCCCCTTTTGTTTTCTTTCTCATTATGATGTGGATCTTTTGCAAAAAACGTTTTGTTGATTTCTCAGGTATGGGTTGCTGACCGAGGAAATAAAAGAATTCAAGTATTTGATAAAGACACCGGGGAGTGGTTAGGAGCGTGGAATAATTGTTTCACAGAAGAGGGACCTTCTTCTGTCAGGTAATGTTTCCTCTTTTTTTTTTTTTTTTTAAATGCTTGTTTTATCTGATTTATATAAGTTTGCTTCTCTGAAGAGCTAGCTGAAAGTTTAAAATATTATTTTCAGAGGGTGGAAAAGGAGCAGAAACAAGTGCGTGGAGAGCACACAATCGTATTTCAGATCCCAGGCAGAGGAAAAGCGGTTAAGCGCCCAGCGCACTGGGATCCAGGTCTCAGAGACAACGTACGCTGGGCCCCCTACAGCGCTCACCCTCAGGATGCATATGGCGAATTTTTAAACATACAACGAAAATAGAAATCTTGAGTCTGTGGTGTTAGCCTAGCACCAACTCTCCATTAGTTTCATTTTGTGTGGTACTCGCATCTTACTTTTTTTGGTTATTTAAGCTAATCTTTGGCTACGTCTGCCATCACAGATCCTTCTTCCCTCATAAAGAGAATTAGACAAACTTAAATTCTCCTCGAGAGCAAGTCTTCAGCAAGTCTTCGTGCCCATTGTTGTTTAGTGCTATGGGGGAGAAAAATGTTGAGGAAGTAAACATTTCTGTTGATTTTGCATACATTTATTCTGTAAAATGTCTCTCTCCTTAGATTTTCCCCTGACGGGAAGTACGTGATCACAGCCCAGCTGAATCTCAGCAGGGTCTTGCTGGCGGCCGCACCCCCGGTGGGAAGCATTGGCAACTGTTCTGTGGTCAGCACGATCCAACTAGCAGATGAGGTTTTACCTCATCTCTTAGATGTCAGTGCGCAGACTGGTGCAATCTACGTAGCAGAAATTGGAGCAAAGCAAGTGCAAAAATATGTCCCAATGGAGAGCTATTTTCCTTCATTCACACATTCGTAATGTTTCTTTTCCTGGAGATCTTTCAAGTGGAAGTTCAGAGTCTCAAATTCATTGTCACGTTCTTACAAATTATGTTTAAACACAAGAATTTGTTTCTTTGTTTTTCCATGATCTAGTGATGGGAAGAATTTGTTTTTATGTCATTCAGAGCCATATGTTTTGTTGCTGTTCTCATGACTTACTTTTACCTGTAAGTGCATAAGGCTATTTTAATGAAGGAAATGTAACTGGGGTCTGAAAGAGGGACTAAGATTGTAACGTAGGTATTTGCCCGGGCAGGCCCAATCCTCTCCGGGAGCAAGACGGAAGGGAATAAAAGTGGGTTTTGCAGGCTGTATTGAATTTCATGTGAAGGACTATGAACCTCCAGTTTGTTCACCTCGTATAAAATCTACATTTTGAGAGATTAAGTCAGATTGATGGGTACCCACAGGATGCTAGCGCCTAAAGATTCAGAAATGAAGAATCAGGACTTCCCTTTGTGAGCCTTTTCAGTAGCATATAGTCCAGTGGAGATCAAGTGTGCAAACTGATAGAACACAGTGACAGCAGACCTCAAGTGTGTCATGTGGGAACATTACATCTGACTGGGGGAATCCTGGAGATTTTGCAGGGAAAATCAATTTGAGCTCCTAACTTGAGAAACCAAAGAGCGGAAAACAAGGTGGTCCAAATGGACAAGTTGTAAAAAGTTACAGACTTGCTGCGAAGTTTGATAGGCTTGCTTTTAAAAGCCCAGCTTGCCTGGGTCCTTGAGCTATAAGATACTTAATTTCAGCCTCTAAATGTAGAAACAAAACCGCAGGCATTTAAGCACTTTCCTGAAAGGGATCTTTAAAAATAAAAACTGGAATGATTTTATTAAAGGTAGAATTAAAAATAGGGCCCTTCGTTCCTCTTTTGCTTCCTCCCTCCTTCCTCCCCTCCCTTCCTTGTCTTCCTTTTTTAAAACATGAACTCAGTTCATTCCTAACATTTGTCTACCTCAGAGAAGTTTTAGAATTATATACATGGGGATATGTACTGAACACTTGAACTATTAAGGTGAATAATTTCTTACCTTTCTATTTCTGTGCCTTTCTACTCTTTGGTCTGAATACTGGCTTCCCAGGAAAGACCGTCTTTTCAGTTCTGGTGTATTCTAGGCTTTGGCGGAGCCTTGCCATATGATCTTTCAGGTCATTCCTCCCCTTTGTCTTCTATTCACCTCCCTCTTTATTCTTAGACTCGCACTGTAACCCATGCAGCATGTGAGAAAGCGTGAGCGGACTCTCCTCATCCCCCATTATAGCGGCTGTCTGTTTTCCAGACCTCAAGGGAATCACGCTGTTTTGATGCTCCGATCATATCTTCACACAATTAGAAAGTGAAATCTACCAACAGGAAACTGTCTTGTGTTCCAAGGCCTTTGATTAAGTGTGTTTGTGCCACTGATCATGCTGTATGATCTTAAGTGAGTCTTTTTAGTGTTTCTCCTTGTAAAATGAGAGCATTGCTGTCCTTCCTCCTTCAGAAATGCTGCGAGGATCCGATGTCCAGCAGATACAGATGTGCCCTTTGAAATCTACAGCTCCGAGTGCTCACTTCGGCAGCACATATACTAAAATTGAAATCTACAGCTCCGAGTGCATTCAAGGCAGAAATTCTTTTTTTTTAATTTTTGTTTAACATTTATTTATTATTGAGAAATAGAGACAGAGCATGAGCAGGGAAGGGGCAGAGAGAAGGGGAGACACAGAATCCGAAGCAGGCTTCAGGCTCTGAGCTGTCAGCACAGAGCCCGATGCGGGGCTTGAATCCACAAACTGTGAGAACATGACCTGAGCTGAAGTCGGAAGCTTAACCAACTGATCCACCCAGGCGCCCCCAAGGCAGAAATTCTTAAGAGTTACTTCTACCTGCTTAATTTACCTGATACTGAATATCAAGTTTGCCTTAATTTTGCATTTAGTGCTTTTTTCGAAACTTATCCTCATGAACGTTATGCAGCTCAGCGAATATAGTAAATTTATTTGGATAGAAGGATGTGATTTGACAGTTCTGTTTTGTTTTTAAGCCAGAACAAGAAGTGCAGATATCTCTTAGAAGGAATACAGGTGAGGTAAACTGATCTTGTCATTTCAAAAATGTATTTTTTTTTATACCAGATTTGTATAAAACTTGCTGAAAGTTTTATTGTCATATATCTTGCTAAAAGTGTGTATTAGCATATTTGTAATCATAGTATTTCACTTTTTTCCTTTGGATTAATTGGTTAAATGACTGAAAAATGTGTTGTATTTTCATTTTAAACATACGAATTAAACTTTTGGAAAGAAAAGGCAGTATTATCTGGCCCCCCAATTAATGTTTGATTTTATTGTTATAAAAGCCATTTTGGAACTTCTTATTAAAGAATTTCAGCAATCCTGATGTCACAGGTTGGGGCTGAGAGAGTATCCTTCATCCACATGTAAAGTAAGACTGAAGCGCGCTTTGCTTGAGTTTGCTTTTTGGACTGAAAACCCCGTGGCTACTGGGGGAGGGGTGGTACAAAAGATAGTGATACTAGGTAACTCTAAGTATTTTTGCTTTAGAAATAGGACCTTTTTGTGACTCTACGGTCTAGATCTCTAGGTGGAGGCATTCTAAATTAGAAAACCGAAGCCTGTAAGTATCATCCTTGACCTCTGTTAGAACATTGGGTCTCTACAATGGAATTCTTAACCTGAGTGAAATTAGAGGGTAAACTAAGAAGACCCATAGGAGTTGTGCTTCAGTCACTTACCAGGTGAAAAGACTCCTCCACGCGTTGCGGCTGTCAGGCTCAGTAAAGGCACTGAAGTCCCAACTTCTATTCTGCCTTGCTGTTTTGAACACTGGCTTTGAAAACTGGGTGTACGGGATGGCCCACACTACAACCAGAAACTCACAGATTTGTGCTCCTTTGATTCACCAGAGTGAATCTGTTGGCATCATTAAAAAAAGTATCCTAAATGTAGGACTTTGTTTTACTCTTTAAAATTTCAGCAATATTCAAATAAAAAACCTTTTTAAAAAGAGTCATATTCATTTATTGAATAAAAACATGAGACCACAGAGGTGTGAAGGCACTCTGGTGGGTGTCCTCCACCCTCGTACTTGACCGTCCATTGGAGAAAGAAAAGCCACGAAAAGTTTCCTTTCAGTTCAACCTAGGAGGCGCCTCACTTGCACTTGCACTTGTCTTACCTTCTTGATGCAAGAGAGGGCGGCAGAGTCCTGCTTGTGAGCGTTTCTTGAAACCAGCAGTGGAGCTTCGTCTTTATACTTCTATTTTTTAACAATTGAGGTTAACCATACTTTAAATTTTTTGTCTTTTTCTTTAGCTTGTCTGTCTTGAGGACATTAGCTTATAGGTGATGTCCTTTCCAAGGGTTATTGGGAATTTTTACTGTTTAGACATTCCCATGTTTAACCAAAACAAAACAAAAGAAACCCAAAACACTTTTCAATAAAAGCCAAACTAACAGAAGTGAATGACTCATTTTAAACTGAAACGTAAAGAGGAGTTTAGTGCAATAGAAAATACATTCATGTTAGCAGAGAATTAACCCTTTTCTCCTTACTGGATTTTTTTTTTTTTTTTTTTTTTTTTTTTTTGCTTTAAACAATGTTGCTTCATGGTTGCTGGCTCTTTTACAAATAAGAAAAATGGATTCTTTACAAAGAGGTCAAGTAATTTCTCCACCAGATACTTACCCATAGAATCCATGAGTTTGTAGAGTAAGTTAATCCTGTGAACAGGTAGTGACATAGAGACACTTGCTTTGTAAGAACTGAGTGGAATCGAAGCAGTGAAAAATAGCGCTTTTTGAAACTTTTGTTTCTTCCATTGTAAACAATGAAATGATATTGTTATGATTTAATTCTGCTTTTATGTCACAGTGGCCCATCTTGGGGGAGCCTGTTTTTTGCCCCTATGATAGTCTGTGACCCTGGTAAACAGATTCAGGGTGTGGAGTTTCCCTCCGGTTGCTACATGTAAGAGAGAATCCAAAAGCAGTGGACCAAAATAACATGGTGTTTGGAAATAATTCTGAGACCTTCAAAGGGTGATCATAGAGTAGCATGAGCAGACGTACTGAGCTTTCCTCCAGAATGAAGATAATGAATGGAAATTAGTGTGGCCAGTTGGTCCAACTTAGTGAGAGAACATTCTAGCAAAGAGCAATTCAGCAGTGAACAGACTGTGTTCATACTGGAAGTGGTAAAGTTCAATGATTCAGAACTTGAAAGCCGGACTTAGGTAGATCTGATTCTGATCCAACCTCTGCCACTTATTTGCTGTGTTGTTTTGAGACCCTGCCTCATTTCTCTCATTCGTGAAATGGAAATATTAGCATTTTCCTCAGGATCATTGTGAATAGAAACAAGATTGTGCATGTAGAACATTAAACCCAGTCCCTGGCACACAGTAAGCACGCCCCACAACTCAAGAGACTCATTTGTGGTATGTAAGGCAGAGCGCAGTAGTCGCGCCATCTTTGGGCAGAAATTCTTATACAGGGAAGATAATGAGACCAGATGACCTTCCCTGTTGCGTGATTCCGTGTTTAGTCACACTATTGAAAACTAATACCGTGTAATATACTAAGTCGTCTATCATTTAGAAATGGCCACTTTTAAAAGGCATAGATTTTTTCAGGTACCAGGAATACGTGGTGAGCAAGGTAGACTCCTTTTCTGGAATATACATTCTAGAGAACAGTTTGGGAAAAAAAAAAAAAGTGAAATCCTGATGAGAATTTATGGTAAATCTTAACACTTGGTAGGCTAAATAAACATGCATTCTCAATTTTCTTCCTTATGTCATCTTGGAGACGGGAAGAGCTAGCTGCTTGCTTTCTCAGCCCAACTAGCATGTAGGGGTAGTTGCATGTAGTGGTAGTTGCTAGTGCAACAAAAATGGAAGTCTACTGGGAGGTTTCTGGAGAATCATTTGCTTTTTGATTTAAAAAAACAAACAAAAAAACCCCAAAAGATATGCTTAGCACCACTGTCTTCTCCCTTCTTCCCTGACTTGAACTTGAATGTAATGCCTGGAGTTGCAGCAGCCATCTTGGGACTATAAAGCAATAAACCAACATTCTTTTTTTTTTTTTAATTATTTTTAAAAATTTATTTCTAGGAGAGAGAGAGAGAGACAGCGTGAGCAGGGGAGGGTCAGAGAGAGAGCGAGTCACAGACAGAAACAGGCTCCAGGCTCTGAGCTGGCAGTCAGCACAGAGCCCGACGCGGGGCTCGAACCCACGAACCGCGAGATCATGACCTAAGCGAAAGTTGGACACTTAACCGACTAAGCCACCCAGGCGCCCCAATAAACCAACATTCTTAAGGAAGGCTGGGATTTTATGATTGGAGGGCCACTGTACCGGCCTGGTAACTCCTTATTCCAGGTTTTTATATGAGGTGATTGAATGTTTTTGCAGATAAAAAGCATTCCTAAGAAATTCAGTATTAAATTACCTTGCATTCATTTGGATTGATATATTTTATGACTTTAAAATTCTATATCCAGGCAAATAAGTCAGTCTGCTCTTATCTCTTATTTTAATGTCCTTCAGTAAGATGTTATTGGTGGGTGTTTTTTTTTTCAATTTTGATTCTGCATTTCTTTTGAGACACATTAGATTCCTTTGTCAAATTTATCCCATACATTTATTAATTTATGGCTATTACAGTAGGATTTTTTTCCCCATTGCTAATTAGTTTTGGATGATATAGAGAAAAAGTATTAATTCTTATGTATGTCATCTATTAGCATTAATAAACCCTTATTAATTTTAATTAGCTATTATACATATTCAGATTTTCTAGGTATACCAACCACTCTGAAAAAAAGATACACTTTTCAATATTAAAAAAGATTTTTTTAATTTATTAATTTTTGACAGACAAAGACAGAGACACAGAATCCGAAGCAGGCTCCAGGCTCTGAGCTGTCAGCATACAGCCTGATGCAGGACTCAGACCCATGAACCGTGAGATCACGACCTAAGCCGAAGTCGGACGCTTAACCGACTGAGCCACCTGAGTGCCCGACACCTTTCAATATTTTTATTGTTTAATTTTAAAAATTTTATTGCATTAGCTACATTGTTCAAAATAATGTTAAATGATAGTAGTGATAGGAAGTATCTTCATTTTATTTCTGATTTCAATGGAAATATTGGTACTTTACCAAATAATATATTTGCCTTGAATTTTGGTAATTTTCATACTTAAAAAGTTTTTAATTCCAGAATTTTGTTAAGAATTATTACTTAATTTTATAGTGGGTTTTGGCATTGATATATACAATGTATTGACTAATAAAAGATACAAATTTTTTCTTACAGTTATTGTTGGAAAAACTTTAGTTGTTAATTGATTTCTTGCTTGAAACTTCTATTCTTGAGAGAAAGAGGGCAGTAGAGTGCCATTATATAGAATTTATCAATTATGTTCCACCCATCTCCAAAAGGAATTTGAGCCTCTTTACAAAATTTTTTAAATATGTTAAAATAGAGTAATGTCAAAATTTGCATAGAGGGGAGGAAAATACAAATATTCAAAACTTGGATTAATAGTTGCAGCAGTTAAACATTAAGTTAATTCTGAGTTTCTTGTAGCCATAGCAAAGAAGGAAAT